ACCATCGGTGCCGGCAGCGGCATGGCTGGTAATGTGGTATCACGGCCGTGTGGCTGCATCTTTTGTAGTACAACATACTTGTGATGGTGATGGGAGGGTTTTAACACGCGATGATATCGGAAATTATTGCAAAACATATCGGTAAATTTATTTTCGTAATTTAACGTTATATCTCGCACACTGGGACACGGTAAAAGTTGCAGTCCATTAGAGACGAGAGTGGCAAAGTGCTTAGGCTATTCCCATATACTCACGGGGGAGTAATAAACAAATATTACTGCAGTTACACGAAAATATGTTATACCCCGGGTGTTCGATCACAACAGCGAAACCTTGAGCTTCATATTGGGAAATATTAAAAAATCGTAGCTATGATTGTCCTCGGTTTCAGCTGAAAATCCGTGATACAACCGGCGTAAGAACAAGTACTTCGCGAATGCAGTTTTAATGCAAGCGATGTTCTTACGATCGTTCTAAAAAGTAAGCAAATTTTATGCGGATGCAAGACTGAAGCGTCGATATGCATTACAGGTATAAAGTACTTACATAACGACTATTACAGTAAATATAAACCATCTAAAAGGTATTAGTATTAGTATATATAGAGCATCGATCCAAAGTGATACAATGGCTGAGCATTATAGCTTCCTTAAGGGATGGAAAACCAGTAAAATATACAAAGTTACCATAAAATTTTGTGAACCAGATAATTCATTCAGTTTGGCTCCAGTTATTAGCATTGCTCACTGGTCAGTATGCTACCGCGCGTCATAATTGCTTCAGAAGACGTCTGTACTCTGTAGTTTAGAACATGATCGGAGCATGAATGGATCCTATAGTATACTATTCCGAATACTATAATTATAATTATAAAGGTAAACATTTGAATAATATTACTAGTAATATTATTGGTGCAATGCCGTTATTACGAACTGGATTTGCACCATATAAATTTATTGTACCGTACCGGCAGCGGCGGTACAATATATGTTGCTGTGTTACTGCTGCAGCTCTAACACAATCGTAATCTGCTCCCAATTGACGCCGCTGCATCACAGTATGATGTTTGTGCGGATATACTAAAATTTTCATGTGTTACGAGTAGTACATCGACAAACATCTACTATAAAATAGACAATCCAGATAATTGATATTTTTGGCGGATTCTGAAGTCGAATGATATTTGTTTTGTGCATGCAAGAGTGCAACTCCTGATGGTTACCTAGGGTAGAGTATCCACAAACATACTCATTGCTCACCCGAGATGTACAGAACTCGTACATTCCAAGGTTTGTTACTTTGCTTCCAAATTTTTTATTTTTTGTAGAAGATCCAGCGTATAGAATTGATTGATAAGTCGTATAGTACATGACTGCCTAATTGCAAGTGGACTTACAAGAAACTAGCTGAACTGCAAGAAACCTGATCAGAATAATTTAGGTGGGACGCTTATTAGGATCGCGTTTCATAATTATGCCGATGAATGCGCGGTGACAACTGCACGGAAGCGGTGACACTGCGCTCGTACTAGAAGTAGACGATCAGCTGTGTGCGCCTTTACACCAGCATTAATTTGGCGTATTAATGTAATTAATATCGTACCTACCCCAGTCCGCTGTACGTTTCCCCGCTGAGCTCTACATCGAGATCTTTAGCAAAAACATCATCCAGGTCGTTGGAGGAGCGTGGCGACAGCGAGACGAGCAGACGGGGCCACACACCGGGCCGCGGCGGGCTGTGGCCGGGCGGCGGCTGAGCGCGCATCCGCTGCGTCTCCGGAGGCGCACTGCAATTCAGAGCCGACTGCACATGCCCGGATGCAGGGCTTGACGCGGAACTACACAGAACGGACATTCTTCGCAGAAGGGCGGTTTTGCCGGCGGGTGAAAGATGAACACTGTCCCGGGGAGACGTTGACGTGGATGACGGTGGTGGTGGAACATTATCCAGCTTATTGATGCTGGTGTGGGGAGAACTGGATCTCCGCCAGAAAGACGTGGATGGACTCAGTGAGCGACGGCGCTGAATGCTGCTGTGGCCGGACGGACCGGACACGCTGGGCACTCGCAGAGTGGACATGACATAGAGCGCAGAGTGAAGAAGCAGCGGAAATTACTGATTAGAGTACCGTCGGAAAATTCACTGCAGGTATATCGTGTGTGTGGGTATATATCCACTATCCAGTGATCTGTCTTAGACGGTACGGGAATGTGTGCGACTGACGTTTAGACGCACTCCTTGGCTGCTTACAAGTGTAGCAAAGCCATTAAGACACGCCATTTTCAAACCTATCGGCAAATGCACTCAGACTCTGCCAAGTTATTCCCTCTTGACGCGCGGTGCGCCTGGGACAGCTGCCGTTTATATATTTGCCGTGATGCAAAAAAGCCAGGTTCCGCTGTGTGTATGATGGTATCCCCTCATTCGTTATACAAACAAAGCTTATGGATTATAAGAATGTTGAGTTGATCAATTATCTGATGGAAAACGCGCGCGGCAATGCCAGGAAGATTATTGGTAACATGCATATACTTGCACATACAGGACGCGTGTAAGCGTTGAGCGCGTTGCGCGGGATAATCAGATCCGCGTCAATATTTCTTTATAAGTCGAGGAGGAGACAAATACGCTTCCTTAAATAGGAACCCGTGATGCCCCTACAGCGGTAAGGTTGCCATTTAAAATGCCGGTTGTATACACGATTATTGACACATACAGCACCGGAATCACGCTGTCATTTATTCCCTCACTCCATTTCAAGAACACCGGACAATTCCCCGGCTGGAGAGCGACAGGATTTTGTAGGAACGAAAAAGCTGATTTTAGTCAGATTTTCACGAATGGTTTCGGTAATGATTCCTATAGCCGCAGTTGTACGCGCCTGGCGATGCATGTCTGATCCCAAGCTACAGTATATGTACGTACACGAAGTCACAGACGATTATAATTACAGCACACAATAAAAAACCGGACTAAAGTAGTAAGTACTTTCTTAACATAATAAAACTAATAACGTTAAAGGTAATGCAGCAGAGTACAACAGCAGTATATTGTACATGACAAATGTAAGGCTCAGTAACAATTTTAGTGTAACAGTAACAAAAAACGCAATTTTGTTGCAGAAATAATGGCGTAATAAATTAATGTGGTCTTATGTAAATTTTGTGATCTGATTAAAGCCAAAAAACTTCGCACCAGAATACCATTCTTTTGCCTTGGGAGATGTCTGCAACCGCTATATACAAAATTTTCTGTTCATGCATTACTTGCTGTCTGTGACACATCGTGTAGACCGCAATACTGTACCTGTAACCTATACTATAACCTTTTTGTGCGCTTAAATATTATTATTTCATTAAAAATTAAAACAAAAACAGACAGCTGATCAGAACTAAATTTCGAAGTCCGTCTAAATTTCGAAATTTCTACACCACAAACCAAGTAAGCCGCGGCGCCGCGAGAACTTCGACGGCTGTATTGTGAAGTATGTTTTTCCTTATAATAATACAGTACCTACATGAATTTTTAAGTTCTTCAAAATGCAGTATGCAACTATAATGTGTACGGAGACAGTCAGTCAGATAGAATAAATATACAGACGCACGTACACGACTATATCGTATGTACTTCCAGCAGTTAACGTTAGACCACAACGTCACGTACACTGTATGCATAATAAATTATTCGTATTATTTGCTTTTAAAGGAAAAAATCATCATCTAAAATCGTTTGGGAAGTATATTAATTTTGTTCTGTACAGAGATGGTGCCTACCGTTAAATCTTACGGAAGGGTCACCGCTAAAAATATTGTACAGAAAGGCCGCAGATTTATGGCGTAGGTTACCGTAAAAGTGCAACCCGATGTCGAATCGACACTTGATACCTTAATTAGCGCTAATTGCATAACTGATTACAATTATGTACTAAAAATTAAAAGTTATTGTTAAGGAAGTATTCAGCTCTATGTTTGGTGACCCAGCGACTGTGCATAGGCTCTTTAGTACTAGTTATAGACATCATGAGCTAAACTACTGGACACCATGCCAGTGAAGCAGATAAGAAAGGATCACAAGTATGAGCCGAGCGTCTATATAGAACCCGTACTTATACAACATTTCAGGTATACGAAATTTATGGCCGACCTGAAAACCAAGGCATCCCAGAAATCGAGTCCAGAGAAATGTGCTTTTAATTCTTAACAGTTTATCGGCAATATTCGGCACTCCTACAGTATTTACTACATTCGACCCACAACTCTTACAATAATCAAGGTTGTCAGCCGTGCAGTTAAACGCTTTAAAGTATTAAAATTACCACAGATTACAGGTTTTAAAACCAGATTACAGTATTGTTTGTAAATGTGTATCGTACTCGAGTTAGCTAGTAATAAATGTACTGTAACGTAATTGTTTCAGTTTACTATGCTGCAATACAGTTTCAGAAAATTGCACTGCCTTAATAATCCGATTTGTATAAAACTTTTTGTTTTTTAGGTGTACTTCTAAGTTACTGGATAGTTACTGTATCTGCTGCTGTGGGTATGGCATGCCGAGAGTGCAGCTCATTAGTCAGAGCACTACAGTTCTTACTAACTTGGAAAGCAAATCTCAGATTCTATTGTGAACGTATAAGTTATTGATTATGTGTTAATTATGTTTAGCCGACTTTTCCATGCTTAATTTTTGGCGCTATCGGCTATGAACTTGCTGAAATTTAAACACCGGTGCCACAAATTCCGACATCTGCCCACAAGCATGAATCACCACATTTAAAATTTCCATGCGCATTTTATTTGCAACGATTGCATTTAAGTGCAGACAACCATTCTTAACTAGTAACAATGACTGCAGCAACTGGCTCATTTGACGAATTAAAATAATCATAAAAACATCAATGAACCGATAAAAAAACAGATGAAACTACCACCTACAACATAGCGTAAAACTAAAACCAGAGATGAGAATCAATTAAATACTTACAAGCAAAATAAGATTTTACATCTCTTTCAGAAATATTTAATTATCAGACAAAAATCATTATCGCACCGAGAAGGCGGCCCGAAAGTGCAAATGGCGAGTTGCAAAAAGGAACGTTACCATCTCTCCCAAATGAACCATCTCATTTCAGTGTGCCAATAGCCGATAAAAAAAAGCTCCGCTCTAGTCTCGGTTACACTGATTTCAGTAAGATTTCCCCATCCCAAAATTAATCAGACCATCCGAAACATTTATGCGCCAACCCCATCCGCCACATCATAACCTCTTTTCTCTCTCTGACGAATAATAATAAACAATAAGGCCTCTGTAAAATAACTTAAAACATATTTCGAAAAGGTAAATCAACATCCTTTCAGAAAAATCTCATGTCGTTCAACCACGAGTGGAAAACGGGGGACAACGAGGGTCCAAAAATTAACAAAACAGTCGATGTACTGTCGTTTTTCGATAATCTCCATCTTGTGCATGAGCAAATCGGCCCCTCTTCCGGAAAAATAACAACATCTCAGCCACGCATTCCATTGCCGAATTTATAACAAAACCACTGCAGAGTGGACGGTTAACAGGAACTCCCTTTCCGTTAAAATAACGAAGCGATCATACGCTATTCTGGCTCAACAATTCTTGCAGTAGACTCTTCCCCCGATCTCCGGGTGGCTGTTGCAGATGTTGGTGGACCGGACTGTTTCCAGGCCGATTAACGCCCATTAAGTCAGGTGCTGGAGCATAGGATTGATTCATGTGCTGAGACATGACACCCTGTCCCTCTGTAGAATACATGGAGCGAAATTGCTGTTCGTTTACATGATGTCCTTGGGATGTATGGTTGTTGCCCATTCCATTGGACGTTGCGTCGACATCGTTAAAAAAATCGTATGACGGGTAACTGTCCATGGACATTGTGGGGGCAGCCATACGCGACGCATGGTTCTGCGACGACAGGTTAGGAGCACCTGCTATCTGCATGTTCGATCGATCTCCGCCGCTGACATCCCAGCGGAATTGTTGCTGAGATGTTAAATTAGGCGGTGCACTGTTAATACCGCCATTCATCTGATATGACCCGAACGATCCATCGTCTGCAAAAAGTGATATGTTGAACACCTCTGGAGCAAACACCTTCTTACAAAATTATAACGTCGACGTAAAAACATCAGTTCGAGAAAAAATGCATATGCAACAGCGTTATCGGTTACAAATTCATTTTTTAATAACAGCTTCACGTCTGCATTATTCCAAGACTTTTAACAAAATCTACTATAACTGTGACTACAGAGGAGATGATCAAGAAATAAAGATGGCTAAAAGAACTGCTGTATACAAAAAGTCGATGACCGCTGGAAACTATAAAATTAGAAGCTATTCCTGTAGGATACGAATACCATTATAAGCTTTTCACATATAATACGACTTCGAAACCCTCAAAAAATAAACGTTCGCTTACTGGCTCGCATGTCTTCAGTGATGTTACTGTAATTGTTCCGCATTAACTGCTGATTTTGACTCGGATTGGCCATCCGCGACTGCATTCCGGGCATAACGTTTCTTTGATACATGCCCGCGTTTCCAAAACCGTCTTGTTGCATTGTGCCCTGTTGCGAGAACTGACTAGAAGGCATACCACCGCCTCCACCACCGGCTCCTCCTCCTCCGGATGGCGTCATTCGCGACTGCATCGTCGGTTGATTGGGATTCTGCGTCATCATGTGCGCCGAAAGGTTGAACTGCTGTCCGTTACTCTGATTGATAAACTGCTGAGTGGAATATGGAGGCGGATTCTGCTGCTGCTGCTGTTGTGCGACAGCAGCCATGTTCATACTATTATTGGACTGTAATGGGTGGGGTGATTGGGGAGCACCGACTGCGCCCATCCCAGAGAGCTGCGACTGCTGCGGCCACATACCCGGACGCATCATTCGGCCAGACACCTGTGGATTAGGATGACGAGGACTCAAGGGTTGGGCGGGCGTCTGGACAGGAAATCGGAGGCCGGCTTGCGGCGGAGGCGAATAAGGCACTGACTGCTGGGGTGCAAACTGAGGATGATTCTGTAATAAATAATTATCATACAACGGGAAGAAAGCGTTAAGAAATAAGTGCAAATGAATGTCAACGTAACACCCACTCAGATGTTTCTCAATCGATTCATTATTTATAATAATTTGCAGAAAGTAACACCGAAGAATGTACTGTAATAGGTAGTTGTACAATAACTTACTTGTGGAACATTTTGGAATCCATTAACAGGGAAGTTGGAGCCGCTGGGACTGGGTATGGAGAGAGATCTCTGGAGGCTAGCAGGATTATTAGACACCGGCAAACCGGGTGCCTGGCCCATACTGGCCTGACCCTGCTGCTGCGCGCGCACTTGTCGTTGCCATGCCTGCATCCGCAGTTGGGCCTTCAGGTGGTTGTTGCTTGACGTTCCCGAAGGAGGCACTGGTGAGCGGCTGGTGTTGAAATCGGAGGGCATTCCGGGTCTGGACGGTGAGTTAATCTGGTTGGGGAGCATCATGGCGTTGCCGGGCATTCGTTGCATTATCATACCACCACTATCGGTATTGTTACCATATACGTTCATTGATGTCCGCACTATCTGCTGATTCTGTACCATGGCATATCTTGGACCCTGCAGGTAAACAATTACTAACAATAAGAAAAACCAAAGAAGCAGCCAAAGACTAAAACCTGTATGAATGACACAGCCAAAAAAGACAACAAAATTGCACAACTATAAGAGAAAGACAATAACACTAGTCGCTTTACATGAACCAAGCACTACTCTGACCAGGACCTGAACTTGCTTTATATGCAAAGTTCTCATTTCGACGTTACTAAACTTTTTAAGCTGTCAGGCAGAAGAAAGTTTTCTTACCATTGCCATGGACGATGCTATACTCTGCTCTCGGTACGCTTGAGGGACCGGCTGTAACGACAGAGGCCCATTCATGGAAACATCGGCGCATAGAGCATCCCTAATGTGCGCAATGGCTTGCTGATCCGCTGCCGTCAAAACACTTCCCAAATCGCTACCACCGGGCCGCTCTTCCGATACCAAGTCTTCCAAGAGGCCCAGCACATCTTCCATGTTGTCATGAGTTCGATTCATGCCGTCATCTCCAAATTCCCCTATCGATTCAGCCAAGCGAACTGGAGGCCTGGGTTGACCTACGCCAGGTGGGGCTAGTATCCGATTGCTCAAATCCTTTGGCAGTTTATTTTGTGGAAGATCACCGGGATTTGGTACGGGTAAGCCCCCGTCAGTCGCCTGCTGTTTAGTGGTATTCTGTAGCAGCGCAGCAAGCATTTTATTTTTTTCAGCTAATTTGGGAGTATTGCCGGGCTCTGCCCCATCAATCTCTTCGATCTTTCTTTTCCCGGTTAACAGTGGGGCATTTTGATTCACGTCGATGTGATTCGGTATAAATGAGTTCATCAAAGACTGTTCTTGGTACATGATGCTGGGCGATCCGTTCTCCAGACTTTCTGCAAGCAGAAGTCGCAACTGTTTATTGTTTCCGTCGTCACCTGCACAGACAACCCATAAGGCTATGCTAAGTCTAATGTTTATTATTTCGATATAAAACGAAACCAAAATTTTGTCGGTTTTCAAAGCACAGTGTAAACTACCCTTGTCAATAAGATAAGGCCACAATATGGCACGCTTACTAGTTGTCTTGTCGTTCAGCAGGTGCTTCAAAACAGTATCCGGAGCCAAAGGATCGTCTTTAAGGGGAGTCAAAAGCTCTTTAAGAATATTGTGCGGATCATTCTCAGACGAATGATGGAGACCAGGTTCAAAATGTGTCCACTCAGCCAAGGAACCAGAAGTATCCGATGAAATATCACCACTACGCGCATTGGAATGGGATTCTCCAGATGACCACTGAAAAGCTGTGCTGGATACGGGCATGTCTTGAGATACGCCTGACTTGAGATCCTGAGCAGAGAGAGGCGACGACTTCGGGACATCAGAATCCCTAAATCAGAAAAATATTTGTAATGCCCTAATCAGAAGAGTCATTTAATAGTTAAAGGGCTTTACAGCTAGACCTCGGGTATTACGGTATCACAAGCAGGAAACATGCGATGGTCACTTTACAAGCTGATCTAAACTTTCCAGAAAATCATAAACAACTTTACTCGAGTAATACGGTAGTGTCTACTGATTTTGAGTGTCGTCATCGTTTGAATACAAGTCTAGGCTCTGGCTGATGTCACGCTCGCACTGCAGCAGAGACGAATCATGCACATAGTCTACTTGACACAATTAGGCACAAAATCCCCAAAGCGGCTGTGGTAGTCAGTAAAAATCATCCATGCAAAACAATTGCAGTTTGTGATTGCTACCGACTCGTACAAAACGGTCCTCACTTGTTGCTCAAAGTGGAGCGAAACATGAACATCATCCGTTCAGTTTGCGACCACATTAACACCATCGTGCCAGGTTGTCCAACAACTTGTGCCAAACGATTCGAAATGTACCAAGTTGTTTCATTTGGTATTCTAATTCTGTACATTTCCATATCGTTCAAAATATTCACTGTATCCATTTGTTCAAAAAATTAAAAACATCTAGTTATAAACGTCAGACAGTAAAACCATTCTGAAAACTGAAAAACAAAATTTATTATTTTTAAAGCAATAAGGTTTTTAAACTACGTATCTATCGCGGAAAGCAAGTTAAGTACTGTAAATGACCAGGATCTTAAGCAGATTACGAAATCTAACCTCTTACCCCTTGTCCCGAACTGCAATCCAGAAAATATTATTACAACACTATTCGTTTACCGAATACGCAGGATAAACGCTCGTAAGGCTAATTCGCATCAGAAAAAGCTAAAACGCACTAGTCTGCCGTCGGAATTCAGGCAATTACATATCTACCTGTATCATGTCACCGGAAAAAAACAACAGATATACGACATACACTACGCAACAGGCAACATACAGTATCAGGCGAGTGGCGCACACTAGGGAAACTCAGCGTTTGAAAATGAATTCACAACACAGCAAACAAATTACACAATCACACGCAGCTCGTTTAGCCTTGATTACAGCCTACATAGCTACCAAGTCGAACAGGTATGGTACATGTACACATACTGGCATTCTACGGATGTCTATAATAATGCAGCAGCATTTTGCTAACCATTCCACCGAGCCCAGCCTAATCGACGTGCGGCAATCACTATCTCAGCGCAGGCTTGTTAACCACATCGAGCGCGTCACAAAACGGTTCTTTGAAAATGTTCTACGTCTCTCGAGTCTCGCTGGTACATTCTCCATTGCACCGTCGGTAAATCTATATCAGGCAGCCGACAACCATACTCACATCCATAGCGCCCCAGCAATTCAATTCAATATATGTACCGTCTTCAAGACACATACTTACGTATACAACTGTTAATCACCGATCCCGTGGCCTTCTTTACCTGAATAACAATAAACTCCACCAGGCTCACCGAGGGTAACTTTAATTTCCCAACAATAAACCAAACCAAAACATAAATATGCACTTTCAGTGCTCTGTTAAAACAGGCAGCCTTAATTAGGTGTAAACATACGAGCTTCCGGAAGCGGTCAAAGCCATACGGTGACGGCAGAATAGGTACATATACAGTACACACGTCTACTGTTAAATCGCCAACCAAAGAACTGCCGATAGGATTCTTGACTTTGACACACAGGCACTAGTAAACCTACGGCACACTGCTCACCACGCAGCAGGTGGTACTAAAAACAGACCAACTGTTAAATCGAGAGAATTCGCCCGCAATGGAAAGTGTTTAGTCACACAGCCCAGCTCGCACGTGTTCGTAGCTGATAATCATAAATGAACCATCCGACACGACTTGCGCTAATAAACGTTCAGATATGCAGCATACAAATCAGACAAGAACGCTTCAGTTTCCATTAGGCGACACCTTGTTCAGACAATAGTAGGCACACACAATCAAACCCATATTAAGATGATGCACATGTGCTATCGAGTTTTAAACGCCAAACGAAAGATTTACGCGATATTTCCACTCCATGAATGTAAGTCCCATCCGCAAATCGATACAGTATCATACGCAGCCGTAATGCCATATGCATACAGTCACCACCGGGTTTGTCAAATTCTGCACTGCACAAAATGCCCGCGTTTTCAGTGTATACCATCAAAGCCACTGCGACGCACAGCACTTTTACCAGCTTGGAAAACCTCAATCAATTTCCCTCAGCAACTTAACCATTTGCTAGCTCCAAAGCAATGGACATACCACAATATATATCTATACACAGTACACCCAGTTTCCAAGTTAAACACCAGTTCCAAGTCGCATGCGGAGACACGGAAACGTCAAAGTTAACCAGAATCCCTGCACCCGCCACAATCCGGAAAATCGATTCGTCCCAGTATTTGGTATATGTACTTCGTTGTGACTTGGGCACAAGTGAAAATCAGCCTTTAAACATATAGAAATGCTTAAAGTTTTACACCTTCATGCTAATGCTGCAAATTAATTCACTACAGCTGTTATTTTTAATGACTAACGAAACTCCAAAAAACTACTTCCTCTTGTGCCACAGAAAGGCGCAACAGAAAATTACAAGCTAACCCATTTTACTATGGGCAAGGTAGTGAATTTATAGGGTTTACGGCACTTTACCCTATCTTCCAGTACGGGTACCTCTTCTGCTACATATATGGGGTAGCACTGCAAAACCGTACACTGCGCCGGTATTCGTACCAAAATTCTTGTGGTAATATTTTAACTATCTGAGCATATTCACTTGTGTGATTTGCAAATCACATCAGGAAATTAGTACAAAAGCCAAATTCGCAAAATTTAATTTCCATAGGCAAAATCGGTACCTTATGGCTTATGTACAGCTGCACAGCAGTCACCAGCTCAGTTGCAGATACCGTATGTTGTGCATAAACAACACACAAGCGCACTGCACACACAACCATCATACACAGTACACACACACAGACGAGAATCTCGTTCGCTCGTTGCCGTCGGCCAGTGCTGCTGCATCTGACCAGCAGCTTCACCAACCGGCATGGCTACAATTCAAGATGCTGCAACACAAAAAAACCGCACAGCAGCAACAAGTTCTCGAAAAAATCTATGCCCGACTGTAAATGAACACGATGAAAAGCACCACACCGGATCACAGACATAGCAATAATCATGACTGCTGCCGTGACATTGATACTCATAGCCAAATAAAGTGAACCAAGCTCTTCCGTTCCGTAGACCTAGCAATGGCACTGTCAACTGACAAAGTAACCGTTTGATAAATTTTGTCAGAAAATACGAACAAAATTCAGGAAAAACCCACAAGCTTCCCATGAGCAGACGACGATGCATATGTTCCAGGTAAAATTGTTCAACAGTAAAGTCGGGAAGACATTTGACAATTGTTCAACCAAATCGCGGAAAGAGTTAAACAATGAAACACCCAGCTCCTAAATAATCGGGCCGATTTAGGCCTCCTCCTCACCATCAATTTATTTATTTACGTCAGTATTTTTGAATCTAACGAATATCTTCAGGAAGAAGATGACTGGCCAATTAACTCGTACGTAGATGCCCTGTCTATGCAAATAACTACATCCTGCGTCGGCACTGTCCTGTAATTTTCAACTTCGAACGCTCTCACCCTAACACCAAACTTCAAAAACAGATTCGCAAGATCCAATGGTAAATTAACGACGCTGGTAGTTCACCAGGTACACATAGTACTTACCAATACAGAAATACGAACTAGAAAACGCACAACAAATCTTACCAAGGAAAAGGAGAATGCGGTGGAGCAGAACCACGCAGAAGCTGGCGGAGGGTTAGCTCTGGTGAGGATGATTTACTCATCGCACCCGTCATGCAGACTTCCGCTACAGCAGCACTGTCACCGCTACAACGCAAAAACAATCATTTTCCAAAACACCTGAGCATTCACAAAATACGTGTTTTCTAGCGCAAGCTATATCGGAAGACTGAACACGACAAGAATCGCATGCAAACCGCCATGCCAAAATATCACCAAGTCAGAATTTCAGCATAGCATAGTTCAGGACAGAACTGTATCAAATTTTTTAAAAGCTATAAACGACGAAACGAAGTAATACCAGTTATGCACAACACCAGAAAAGAGGGATGTGAAAACAGTTGATCGATCAATTACCTTGAATGGGAATTAACTAACGTATATCCGGTCCAAACCAGAAGAATTCAAAGCTTTCGCGAAAAAAAGATACAGCGTAAACCGACAAAACAGCAACAAAAGAAATTATGTACACAATCCAAAACCCCATAATGTACGGTACAAATCAGCAATAACGCAAAAAAAAAACTACAACTGCACACAACCACAATGCACTACCATTGTTTAGCAATGATGCACTGTCGCATATGCTGCAGCACAATCAAATTTAAGTGACTTGTGAATGCGCGAGTCCGAGACGATAATATAAGTACTGTGACCAGGAAGCATAAGAGCAAGTAGAAGCCTCCCGCAAGCGGTACGGGCGCGCCCCATAGCACAGTAAGTAATCTTGCGGTCAGACGGCCGGCGGTAGCCGGCTTCAACGACACAACCCGACGGCGGTAGCCGCACTACGCAGACGGCAGAGCTACATAATATTACTAGTACTTATATGTATTGTACCATAATATTACTAAACTAAAAGGTATTCCATCGACTTACGTGACGTCACGATAGGCAACACGCACAGTGAGACGCAATGGGCAACCCCTGCGGGTTTTGTGTTTATCAAAACGTTCAAATACGTACAATCCGTTCGTGCTATGGCTCAAAAAATGCAGAAAAAAATTCTAAGTTTGTAAACTAAAACTGACAAGTGAAACGTTCTCAAGGAAACGAAAACTTTACGATTCTCGTTAGCACAGAGGTCTATGAGGTGGTTTGCCAGTCCAGAGATCTCCATGCTAAACGAAAATCCTTGGTTCTTGATCTGTGGTGAAACGAAGTGACCAGAACCTGATCAGTCAATCAAAAGGAAACAATTAAAATTTAATCAATAAATGAAAACCATCAAACAATTCAGATTTGATCAAAACACGTCATTTTTGTTTAGCGAAGAGGGCTAACCATAAGGCAGACTGCCTCATAGACCTCTATGGTAAACAAGAATTACGTAAATCGTAAACTTTTCGTTTATATGACAACTTTTTACTTACCAACTTTCACTTTCCAAACTTCAAATTTTTTTCCGCATTTTTTGAGTCATAGTACGAACGGATTGTACGAATATGAAAGTTTTGATAAACACAGAACCCGCAGGGGTTGCCCACTGCGTCTCACTGTGCGTGTTCTCTACCATGACGTCATCGTACAAGGTGCATGCTCGATTGAATACAGTACCTGTTAGTTTAGTAATATTATGATTGTACATATGTACCGGTAGTACCAAACAAGAAAGTAACCAAACATAAAATTTACTTACTTACGGTGCTCATTTGGTGGATTAACAAATTATTATTTATTACCTAACACTCATGACTCATGAGCACAAAACACGAACTTTTGCCTAATTCAGTCGAAATTTCAAATCTGAAAACAGGAACCAGAAAACTAAGCACTAGTTTTATACTTTTATTACAGCCTGAACAAGGTGCGAAGGGAAACATATAAACAACCAACATAAAATTGAATTTCAGTACTCGAAAATTAACATGTTATTGCAGTAAAAAATAAGTGAAACATGGAGCAACAGTATTTTCTGCTTAAACGAAAAACAACAACAATGCATTTGTCAAAGTTTCTCATTCCGCACAGCAACGTAAAGCAAACGGAAATGAACGTTGTGATCCCAAAAAACAAGTTTTCGACTTATTTGACAAAAATGGCTACCGCAATGCCCATGTTTATTAAAATACTGTAATAATAACAATAATAAATGTCAGCACCAGCAAGCCAGAATAAGCAACGAGTATGTATGCACCCACGGTACACGCCTTCAAGGCACGTAACTTATTAGTGAAGCAAACCGAAGTACTGAATGAACTTCATTTGACAAAAGATTATGCCACTACACCATGCATACGGAACCACAATACGCGAAAATAATATCCATCTATATATTGCAGTAGCTAACATTGTACAATACATAATGGGCACCAGATCAGAATTCGCAACTTGCGCCTTCACATACTACTGCGCACTGGTTGTCGCGTGGTTTGATCTAGATAGAGGAGCCGAAAACGGTTTCGGTGTGTGCCAATCGAAAACGTTTGGTGCCAAACACCAAGTGCAAGCACACTGAAGTCAGTAGCGATGATGCACCAGTACAACTACAAACCACAGCCACATTTTTATTACAATAAACTTATGACGGTGGTACTTCTACTCCGATAGTTGAACAGGCAAAGTGCGGTGCATAGATTCTTCTACAATATAGAACTCTGTATATCCGCAAGACATTCGCAGATTTGGACAGATCAGATTCAAACAAAAACGGAATACAATAAAGAAATTGAAACCTTTCATTTATCGTGTTTGCAAAACTTCGGACAGGGCGAAAGGCAATTCATCATCCTGCAATCGGTATCCTTTTTTCCGACCCTTCCACATTATAGTCCACTGTCCACGGATTAAGAGTACTGTATTGTTCAGTGTTCGCCGATATTATTTTTACGTTAACATAATATCATTGTGACCAAAAACAGCTAATTAAAAATACAGTAACCCGCGAAAAACCTGTATTAAGCACACCAGCAAACAAACTTGTTCCTACAGATTTTACACATTAACAATTTAACTGATTAACATTGGCACAACTTAATGTTTTCGCACCGACTTCAGCACATAAACAGAAACTCACGTCAAGCTTCGCAACTGGACTACGAAGGAATCTCTTGTTTTGCGAGTGTCATAGTTCAATGTATCGAATAAGTGCTGTATAAAAGCACAATATTTAGGGAAACAACTAGTTACTGTTAACAAAAATGCTTTTTCAGCGATCTTTCTATCCTAGATCTGACCATTCCTGTTCGTTTCCCTTTCACAGTAGTATAATTCTGTTCCAGCAAAATTAACGGCAACTTCATAGCGATACTACAAACATACACATACCCACTTTGTGATCTGCTGCCTCCTTTCATTATTCATGAGGTCCAGATGGCGTTTCTTCTGCTTCAGAAATTCTTTGCGCGAAGATGCAAAAACAGGATGCACAGCGAAGCCAGTCCACGAGTCAAGGTTATCGAAAAAGTACACAACCACAAGCTGCTCTGCACTTCAGTTTTCTGAATTTGAGCGTCAAACTTCAGAAAAGTTAGTGCTACGTGTTGTCTTCATGATGCTCCATCTCATCGGATCAAGCGTGAAAACAACTGTTTAAACTTTACATGCAAAAATAAAACAAATAAAAGTACTGCAAACCGTTGAACTGCGCTATCTAAACTGATGGACAATTTGCAATTTCTGAATTGTATTGATAATTCATCGAGGTACTCGATCAGTAAACGTGGGATCTGCTACAACCGCGAATCGCATTCGCGGCTCGTCATTGAGACGAGCTGACACACGGTAAACATACGTACTCCGGCTTTACCACGATTCCGACTAAAATGGTCCAGAGAGTCATTTTGTCGAAAAATGTTATTGTCGACGTTTATTTTAACGGTTAAGAACTTCAGGTTATTTTAAAAGGTAATTTCATGTTCGATAAGTTTTGGAGTTTTGTCTTAAATTTCCGCCCGAACTTACGAAAAATAATGTTATTTTGTGAAACAATAAAATTTAGAATAGTGACTACTAGTAGGAGTACACCTTCACTCTGGTGCATGTAAGTACATCGTTGTTTCTACAAAATGAAAATGCTCGTCGGCATACTGTTACATCATACATGTACAATAGATAATAGTTTATAACTTTATACAGAACGATATAGAGATAGTCTATCTATATATCTATCTCAGATAGATAGATATAGATTAATAGATATTAGATTTCTGTATATATAGATTAACAGATACTATAATTCTTTCACTTCTATGGAAACTTGTGACTGTATTGTATCGCCAAATTGAATAAATAAATTCGTACTTAAAAAAAAAAATAATAATATATATAATAAACTTAGGTATACGATATTACGGTAATGCACGTACGTCATTAGTAGCTTTTATGCCTACATAGTGCGTTAACTTACAATCATTGCGGTACTTAAACGTATAATATTATTTCTTTTAAACAGTCTTAAAAATATCACTTATTTAATACTCTTTACCCACTGCCAGCAATCAGCATCATTGTGGTTGTTCTCGAAGGAAATTATTACAGAATGCATAGTATGAATGAAATGCATGCACCGCCGCACGTCCAGATCTAGACTTGGAGCGCACTCAGGTATTTCACAAAGCATCGTTTTTGGCTTGTTTTATTTCGAAATAATAATGTACTCGTACAAAACTTTATTAATAATACTCGTACCTATATCGTGTCAACAGCAATCAAGTGTCACAACAGAAAAAGTACATGTGTTAATTACAAGTTGGTGTAACTTGAGGACTAAAACTCTTAAGGACTACTGAGAAAATTTAATTATGACTTAAAGTTAAAACTGAACTTGCTTGGGGAAACACAATTTTAATCTTTTGCGCAGGAAAGTTCAACATAGAATGATGGACATCGGACAATAAGTACTGTGCAATGTACATACTGTATTATGGCTATGTCATAATATGCGAAACTCTTTCCTGCGCGAAGTGTCATAAGCCCGTAGATGTATATGGCCACCACGGACTGTCATGCTCCTTTTCCGCTGGACGACATCCTCGGCACGGTGGGCTTAACAGCATTGTGTGCCGCTCGTTAGTTTCAGCGGGTATTCCAACAAAACTGGAACCGCATACGTCTCATATATACGTCCGGCCGCCGTCCAGACGGATGCACTACGTTTGCCTGGAAACGTGGCATCTTCTTGGCCTGGGATGTGACCTGTGTGGAACTGTCGCCTCGTCCCATATCAAGTCTACTTCGGTTTCCGCTGCATCCGCAGCAGCACAGGCGGAAGACAAAAAAACCAAGTTGTATGCGTACCTGGAGGGCCGATCCATCTTTGCGCCCCTCGCATTCGAAACTCTCGGACCTTGGGGAAAGTCGGCATCTATTTTGATAAAGGAAATCGGCAAACGATTACGGCAGCATACTGGTGAGCTGCACTCACTCGAATTCCTTCGTCAGCGTTTGTCGATTGAAATCCAAAGAGGCAACGCAGTTTCCGTACTTGTTGTAATCATATCTCTTCTGTTTATGAACTGTATCAGTATTACTGGCTTGCGCTAATAAAAGTACTGTATTATTAAGAAATGGACGAAATCGCAATACAGATTGAATCTGGCCAGTGTTGGCGAAATATCCGTCAAATTGTCAAAATCAACATAAAGTCATAAACACATATCCGTCTATCCAGGGCGGTGGGCATAGTGACAAGTCTGGAACTTACCATTAGTATAGTATGGCAAATTGCCACTTCTTACTTCACCGAGATGTTTTCAAACTTTTGATGACTAAAATTTATATTTTAATAAACCCCTTTAATATTGCAACCTGTGTATGTGTGTTTAGAATTGTGCATGTGTTTAAAATTAAATTCAGATCTCGTGTAGAAGTTGTGAGATTTGAATCACTTACTGACCTACATTTCGTGAACACAGTGCATACTAGCTGGTTCGGAAGGTTCTCTGTATTTTGCGCTTATGGCGTATTGATAAATTATACCTCTACTCCGCAATAAAGATGGATATCGAGAATGTTGAAGAGCAGCTCACTCACAAGGAGACGTCCCGAGCGGGTGATCTGGCGAACGAGCAGCGCTGCGATCCCGCCGCGCACGTGTGGCCGCTGAGAACATTCGGTGATCCAGTATGGGTTCCCTTCACCTACACTTTCGTAGAACATGTTAAAGGTATTTGACTATTTGCAACTGCCTTTCTTGTGGCCTGGCAATCCGCTGATGCGGTTTTTTTATTTTAGGGGACTCCTTCGGAATGCTGATGGCAATTGCGAGCTTGCTGCCGGTGTTCATCGTGGTTGGCTTTGCTACATTAATACTCTTTCGCCGAGATCTCCACACGGTAATGCAAGCAGTGACTGAGTGACTGTTTAGCCGTTTTACTTTAAGCCAAAATCGCTCTAATGATAACTTCGCGTTGATTCTGAATGAATTCGTGCGCAGATCGGTATGAATAGTTAGTTAGTAACTGGAAAATCGCCGATGAGTTCTTACGTCTTCGATTTTCCAGTATTGCGTTTTCTGTTTGCAGATTGTGTTTTTTATTGGAATGTTACTTAATGAAGGGGTTAACTGGATCTGCAAACACGGATTGGGTCATCTGCGCCCTTGCACCAATCGGGTCCACCATGGGTCTATTTATGCAATGCCTTCCAACCATTCGCAGTTTATGTGGTTTTTCTTTGCGTATTTCACATTTTTTCTGCTTTTCCGGTTAGTATTTACGTGTTTCAACGTTTTAATGGATTGTTAATTTTGCTCAAATTTTTTAGACTACAAAAATCTAACCCGACACCTCAACAGTTGCAGCTGGGAAATTGGCTGTGGAAATCGGTTGTGATAAGTGCTTCGTTGGCCGCATCTTGTGTTGTGGCTTACAGCAGGTATCAACTGCCTTATATCGTAAAAAAACTTAAATTAATGAGAAATTACACATACCATTCGTTTTACTGCTACCCTTTGATCTGCCACCTGGAAATGTTTTATTTTCAGAGCTTACCTACACTATCATTCTTCTTCGCAAGTTATCTTGGGGTGTGTGTTGGGTTCCGCTTTGGGCATCGGCTGGTTTCTGGTCGTCCAAAATGTTCTGACACCATTGTTTCCAGTCGTCGCTTCGTGGTAAGTAATGTACAAATATTTACGTGAAATTATGCCGCTGTTTTAAGGATTACCTATTTTGTCAGCGTGGCATCGGGACATTTTTATCACCTGCTATTCTGATTTCTTGTAGGAAAATTTGCGAAATTTTGCTGATTCGAGATACGACTTTAATCCCCAACATTTTATTTTTTGAATATTCAAAACAAAGGGAGGAGACTAGGTAAGTTTTGCTTTGAATGGTGTACAATTGTATGACGCTGCTAAAGCTTGATTCGATTTTTCCGTGCAAAGCGTTGTTTAATATACTATTTTGTATTTTGTTTGCTGTACAGTATTCGCATGCGAAAACTTCGGACAGGGAATCGAAATCACTGACATTCTTTATGAGTTGCATTGGTATTTCTGATGCATATTTTGTGGCTGATGAGTTACACTGGGAACTGAGTACTCGTACGGAAAGATTTACTGTGATCGCGACGTGAGAAAGTGTTTTCACCGAAAACGGAGGGAATCTATGGAGCGTCATACGACCGGTGATGACTGTGTTGTGTATATGAAAAGTTGCCTTTTCAAGAATGTACTCGTGCTCTTTTCTGTGTGTGCATCTGACCTTTTTCTCATCGAAATTTTGGAGTTGTGCCTTTTAAGTAGTGTCTTATGGTCTGTTTTTACTGGTGTGATGTACAGAGCAATCCCGGCTTCATTCCTCTCAAACAATGTTGGGTGCAAGGTTTATCTTTGCAAAAAAATTTTGGAATCGAAGTGTGCATGAACTTGAAAACTACGGTACATAATTAGAATGGCGAGAGTTGTGAGGAAGGTTAAAAATTTCAACAGAAATAAATTTTAATCTAACATTTTAATAATGGAAACTAACGGACATCACGGGTTATCCTGCAATAAGTCAACTAAGGGACGATGGGCGCGACATAAAGAAATGAACAGTATTGCTAAGAATTGTTGCGAAAGCGCCGGTTTTCCTTGTCAGCTAGAACCGACCGGCTTATCGAGTGTGAACGGAAAAAGGCCCGACGGCATGATGCTGATCCCTGTCCGCCAAGGGAAACCACTTGTGTGGGATGTAACCAGTTGGTGTACGGTCGCGGACTCGCATGTCACCGGCAGCTCGAAGAAAGCTGGATACGTGGCTCAGCTCGCAGAAAATTCTAAGCGCCGGACATATTCGTTTGTGGAAAATGGAAACTTTTTTTATCCTTTAGTGATTGAGACGTTGGGAGTATTTGGCCCCGCTTTCCGTGAACTGTTGCATTTCATGGGCCGTAAAATTCGAGACTTAACTGGAGAAGCGCGTTCTACTGCTTTCATTAAGCAGCGTTTTAGTCTCGCCGTTGTAAAAGGAAATGCTACGGCTGTTTTGAGCACGTTACCTTTTAACCCAAGAGAAGATAGAGATTTTGGTTGTTTTTTTAATGTTTAAATTTTAACTTTCACGTAGTGTACCGCAGACTTGGGCCGCCAACTACATCTCCCCTTTCCGCCCGCCCCGCTCTTACCTAAAAATTTTCCGCCCCGCTCCGCCCCGCCGTAACAAAAAAAATTCCCACTTCCGCCCGCCATATTTTAATTTCCCGCCGCCCGCCCGCCAAAAATTTGAAAAATTTTTCAAGTGCTTTTCATTTTTTAATTTTTTCCCTTTGTTCTTCTTCAAAAATGTCTGCTCAAAGACCACACCAGTTGCCAATTTTCGCGCGAAGCGCGAAGCCAGCAACCAATTTCGCCGCAAAAACCGTTAGAAATTCTATAAAAATAGTAAGAAATAGTAATTCTATAAAAATAGTATTGCAGTAAATGATCTTAAATTTTATTTTATGCTTGATCTCCGCCCGCCTTTAAAATAATCCCGCTCACACTTTTTCCTCCCCGCCCCGTCCCTCCAAACTCAAAACTTCCGCCCGCTCCCGCCCTCCAAAAAAGCGGGGAGGGGCGGGAATGGCGGAGAACTTTCCCGCTCCGCAGAAAGGCGGCCCAAGTCTGGTGTACCGGCGCTTGCAATCATTGTTATCTTGGCGGCTATTGCCCAATAAAATTATAATTTTAATCTACACAATGAAGAAGATTTCTCCGCTAAGAAAATGTGGAGAAAAATCCAAGAGGACATACAAAGATAGAAGTTGTAAAAGCAGAAAACCAACAAATTACAACGGTCACCACCAAAACTGTGACCGGCAAAAATTGCCATAAACTGTTGACTGAACAGCAGAACAGTGAATAAATTAAACACATAAACATTTTTTTAATTGTCCGGGCAACAAAACATTCGGAAACATTAAATATAAAGGAGCAGAATCCACGGCGTATCCATATTCGTCGTTTCACTGACCACTCAGCTCACAGTCAGCCAAGAATCTTCGCTCAAGGGAAAAGTCGTATTTAAACTACAAAGGATACAAAGTAAATACTAAATATGGCTAACCATTTTCGCATTTCGATGCTGTAAGCATACAAGCTCACCTTATTTTCAATGTCCTCGAGTGTCATTAGGGGAATGGTTGGTACTGGAGCAGTTTTTCGAGCGGACAAATTTGCTGAAGCAAAATTCCGGAGTAAACTATTGGCATATCAGCAGCTACAACTACTGTAAAACTTACTCGCTATAAGTCCCAATTTGAACGGAACATCATCCACCCCAAGCGATGCAGTAACTAAGGATAACAAAATTAAATTCAAACATGTATCAAGCGACATTTGCAGCAATAATAGCATCACATATAATCAATAAGACAAGAAGCAGCACCACAGTGTTTGACTGCTTTACCGCTGTTTAAACGAAGGGTCCGACTTCCTCGCCTAGCCAGAGATAATCCTGTCTGGGTGTCAACGGAAGGAGATTTCAGTTTCAGTGTCCCACTAGGCTTTCCCTTTTCCTTTTCTGGAGTTTTAGCTCCCGTAACATCTGACTGCTGCAGCATGTATGCATTTGCACTGAAACATCAAACAAAATTTCGTAGCAAATTTCCACACCAGACACGACCAAAACCATAGAAATCGGACATACCCACTGTTAGATGGGGAGAGTGCTTTAAAATTCTCAGGCGGCACTCGGCCTTTTCGTGTGCAAATAATTAACTCGTCAATTTTTCTGCAAACAACACCGGAATTTCATAACATCTGCCGCCTCAGTATCACAAAAAAGATTAGAGAAGTACAGTGTTTGAGTGTTACACACAAACACTGCAATACATACCCGATGCTGTCGTAGCCATTTGGCGCTCTGGGCATTTTGTTCAGAACAATGATTTCACAAATGGCTTCCTGGACAGAATATCTCGGCACCATTTTCACAGTGAGGTACTTCTTTCGTATAGCCCGCTCATCTGTAAAAAAGATATCAATCTTAGCACATTAGGCGTTGGCGTGAAGGGCAACGGACATACTTGTATCGTACGTCGTATCCACCAAAGTGTATCCTGGCAGCACATTATTTTTCTCGTTAATAAGGCACATGCTTTCCACAACATTATTCAATCGTCCCTAAAATTGCAGAAATGTCATAATTGTACCATTATTATCCTTATGTATAACCTGCAAGCGAATCTCATTCCGTCGAAATATTGCAATTAACTCAAGCCGCCTGTGATCATCCACCGTAAATATATCTGTACATACGTCATACGATTAATAATTATTATGACGTAATCTGACAATCACCAAATGCCAAAAAATGTAGACAACTGACATTGGTGTTAGAAATATAGTGTATGGTGGAAAACGAAACGCATATCGATGAAACTTGGCAAATTTTATCAGAGAAAAAATACCATAAAATCAAGCAGACATCCACTTACTACGCTACGACTCACATTATCCAAGGGGAAAAATCTGGTAATGCAGAAATAGCGTCGCTGTGATTTGGACAAGAAGGATTCTTTCCACAGATCCGCATCCATCTGCTGGTCGTAGGTACTATCAATCTGCAAATGCAAAAAGTGGTTAGCTGCCTCCTAGCTATCTTGGCTATTATTTTCGCAAAATTCCGCAAAATTCCCGTCTACCAGAAAAGAAAAGAAACATAATTTAAACATTCTCCAGCCTTACGCATTTGTATCCCAAAGGGCAAGCATTTTTGCTGGTAACGATGCAAAGTCCTGTGACTGGATCGAGTTCCGAACCTTCGTACGCTGCCATCAGCTCCGACTGATAGACGAGCGTCACCAAAACCAAAATCTTGTGGTAGGGATAGCGCCCAAAAATGGATCCAAAGGCGACACTCAGAACTTCCAAAAAGGTCGACGGGCTAAATATTACTTACTCAACGAAAACATATGATAAAGAGGAAAGTCTTGAACACAAATGTCCAGATTAAGAATAATGGATACGTTCTGAACTTTTCGGGCGGCCAGATCGATAGGAATGTTTGACTAGTATCTCTGTCGTTGTCCAGAGGCAAGAACTTCCTATCTTTATCTAAACTTGCTAACTTATTAATGGATTGATTATGGAGTCAATGGACGATCGAGCCATCATCACGGACGTAGCATCTTATGAAGTCATTTGAATTTGGTTTTTTTAGTTTTAACTTTTAAGGCTGAAAAATTAGAATTAGTCAGGTAAGTTTCGTAGTTGTCCTTTCGAGGGCAATGGCTAGCTGCGCAGACCATGTAACATCCAACCGCACCCAAATGTGGCACAGAGCAAGGCTGAGAATAAAATGCTCGCGACTACGTCATCCATTACGCCTCTTGTGTTTTTACCAGCTGCATGGTTGTAGGCAGCTCGCGACTACGTCATCCAGTGTACCAGCTGCATGGTACAACAGTTTCACAGAACAACAGAAAATGCGTTTACTTTGTACTGGAAATATGAAAAATTTGTAACGCGATAAAAATCCGGCATCGAGACGTTATAGATGATTGGAAGCTAGCAAGTGATAATCAGAATCGTCGGTGACTGTTGTATGTTATTATAAATTATTGCTCCAAGTCATTGTTCAGGACGGAGGACGAAACCTGGCATCCAAACCAGCCCCTTTTCAGGCTTTGCTGCATGAATTATTATGGTCTTCCGTATTTGTCGATCCCTTGCCTGTTGCAGTTCCATGGCTGAAATGATTAGAAGCTTTCTTGAGTGAATGCGATGGATATGTGGCATGCTGCGGATGGTACATGGCGCAGTCATTGTGAAATCTCGCATCAAAACGTTTCACGTCACTCTGTATGCGTAAATGGAATCGACATTTCCCGATCCGTTTTCCCCCCAGGTAACCATGCTATTCACAACACCTACAGTATTACGAAGGATTTAATGGTGGTCACTGCAGAAGCGGTTGCGGAATCTGCGAGGGATTAGCCGTTCGCCATTTGGACGTGCAGCCGTTCGCGTGTCCGGACCGTGCCTTCGGAGTTGCCTTCACTCTACACATTCCTTCAGAGTGTCTCCTCCTGTGTTTATTAGCGAGCCCATCTACAATTCCGCGGTTGGTTATTGCAGAATTTTGCCTTGTGCGTTTTTTGTTATTGTTGCGTGTTTGTCGTGAATGCAGAATCCCACATGGGAAGAGATGGACACCACAATGTTCGCTGATGCTCGTAGCACGGAGTGTGTTGTGCAGCTGTTTCTGCTGCACAATGGGGATTACTCGCCCTATAAGAAATTATGCTATTGGCAGTTAGATTTCCGGTTACTGGTGCGCATAGGAGATGCAGTGGACTCCATGGATTACGATTTCAATCCAAATACTGTGATATTTGCCTTAAAGTGTGGTGTTTATGTGCTTCCAGATTCGGTGAGTATTTTCTTTTTGGGCTTGCAGCCCCAGGAATTGTGTGCAAATAAATGGTTCAATTTTTTGGGAGTGCTGTGGGCTTTGGGACTGATTTTATATCGTCTTATGGAATTGAATTCAGACTGCATCCACAGTTTTGCGCGGCTTCGATAGCAAATAATGAAATAGGCTTTCATCGTGCGACGAAATTACTGCTGAAAACCAGATTCATGAATTAGAAGGTTTTTCGTGGTTTTGAAAAACAAATTCGTGAACCAACTAATTCTAGTTTGGCATCTTGTTCGTCAGCGTATCATGCGTAATATATGGTTTTATTTTTTAGATTCCAAAAAATTTCCGCGAAATTCCTCCGGCGCCTTCACGGACAGTTCGTCGAGCATGCCCAGTCGGTACATTGCGACAGCTCCTGAAACTTGAGAACGATTATTCTGCTATCCAAATACGCAAAAGAGACAGCTACGCTCTAGTTCAAGAGAGCACGAACGATTCAGCGCAAAGCCAGATGCTTAACCGGCAGATCGAGCTTTTCACCCAGCGAGTGGTTCATTTGAAATCCCTCCTACGTGAGCGTCGACAGGAAAATTGTAACTTGTCCTTGTCAGTGAGCGATCTAACATCCCTAAACGAACGCGTATCCGATACCCTGGAAACCAGTGTTCTTGATCTCATTTTGCATAAGCGTAATTTGACGACGGCTCGTGAGGAACTTCTGCGAAGCAAGACAGAATGTAGTGTTTTACGCGCTGGCCTTCGCAGTCGAAGGTGTGAATTAGTGTCAGATTTGAAATTAATTTACCCGATCCACCGCAGTCCTAGTGGTCGTGTGTTCGTATCGGGCATTTGGCTGCCTTCGGTGGACGACTATGTAAACTGTGATGATACAACGCTTTCCGCTAGCCTGGGATATGCGGCGCATCTGCTGGTTTTGCTCTCCAGGATCCTGAACGTTCCGCTGCGATATCCTTTGAAATTCTATTGCTCGACTTCTTCCGTAACGAACCCAGCTAGTGCCAGGATATACGATCGAGATCGCGAGTAAGTCTACAATGTTGCCAGCATCAGCTTGACCAAACAGACCATCAGTTCGCTGCTGCGATATTTTGCGATTGCGATTTCGCCGCAAAACTGAAAGTATTCTACGGTACAATGAATGCAGCCCACGCTTTTAATGATTAGTGGATAGAGGTACTGTAGTATGTATAATAAGTACAAAGGTCTAGCAACACTTGTACTGTTTTAAATTTTGGTATAAAATCGTTGTAATGACCCGTGATTGAAAGTTTTCGCTGTTGTAGGTATCCTTTGCACCTAAAGGTCAGGGATCGCAATCGTTTCTATGAAGGAGTGTATTTGCTCAACTGTGATGTCATCCAGCTACGCTTAAATTTTGGCCTTGGGACGCGGGAAGTGAAGAACACAATTGAAAATATTCAGTCTTTGATGGTGGAGCGATTCGAAGTGCAGCCACCGCGCACACCTTCCATACGAATTCCTCCATCGCCGCTGCCGCAGGATAACAGCGCCCACTCCAGCCCCTTCACCCCCATGGTGGTCAGCAATGGTTTGGCTAGTAATGGCCACGGCGAACAGGACGAAAGCGTTCCTCCGGTCACACCAGCCATTATTTTCCCGGTGCAATCCGCTCCCGATCTGGGCCGGTTAAAAGTACCGAGCAAACCCGAAAATCCCTTTTTTATCCAAAATAGACAGTCCCGCGATGCATCGTGAGTTTGTGCTAAGTTTGCAGTTGTAAACTTTGCAAAATTTAAAAATTATTTATTGCTTCGTTCGTAATTGCATTAAGAGTTCTATTCGATTTTACGAGATTGCTGTTAAATTCGTTTTATTCTGGCGTGTGGTTTTGGTGTAAATGATGTTTACTGTTTATCCGTTGGTTGATTTTGTTAGTGTTTCCTATTTACAAATTCTGTTTGTGCTTCAGTAATTAAGTTATTATATCTTGAAATGCTTCCGGTATCGGTAGCTGATAATTTATTTTATCAACCAACACGACACGTTTAAAAGACACCGCTAACCATTTTGCTTTAACGTTCAGACAGACATATATCGGTCGATATATTAACCAAAGCAGAAACTTCACTGTAATTATTGGAACAGAAGTAGTCAGTACTTCTGTGAAAAGACGAATGGTAAAATAAAAATCAACATCAGTAATAGTGCATAATAATTAGTGACTTATACCTATACATTATTTCGCCGCGGAACCAAAAAAATTATATTTGACGGTACAATGAATTCTTCTGTTAATTGAACTCTTTCTCAACATGGCTTTGTAGTTTGGTTTTCTTCAGTTGTGAACTTAGCAGTCAAATTTATGTACAATACTTCATGAAGGAACAATACTTACTAAATTTTGGAGTAGATTTAAGAGTAAAAGGCGGGGTCGATTGGTACATGTACTTTTATTTTGTGGTCAGAGATCCGTGAATATTTTCTTTATGACGCTTGAGATCGATCTTCCGCTGAAAAGCGTCACCGCATCTGTCGCAAGGAAACGGCTTATAAGACGCATGCTTTCTCATGTGAGTGATGAGATTGCTCGATTGGCTGAACGCCTTGAGACATACGACGCATTTATGCGGCTTCTCTCCTGACAAAGCAAAACGATACACGGTTAAATTACCATTAACAGTTTACAACAATAATTTCAGGAATGAAGAGTAGCAAAAACAACGATGATATACCTGTGTGTATGTAGGTATGTTTCTTCATATCAGACTTCTGATGAAATCGTTTTCCACAGAATTCGCACGCATGAGGCCTGGTGTCGGAGTGTATCAGAAGGTGTGTGGCTAGTGTGGATGACCTTTTGAATGCTTTGCCGCAGTGCATACAGGGAAAATGGCGATCAGGACGCAGCAGAATTCCGCCTTCTTCCATTGTACCCAGGAGATCGCCATCCATTGCCGGAAACAGTCCACGTGACATGCCGAAATGTGAGCAACCGGCCAGTTGGTTGTAGATGTTGTACAAGTTTGGATTGCCGCAGTAAGGAAAATTCACTGGTGAAGTTAACGATAAAGTGGACAACAACGATTGTCTTTCTCTCTGCATCCAGAAAAACCACATTGGCAAAGTATCTGTAATAATAACCAAATACTACATAGTAAAGTACCTGGAAGTAAAAAACTGGTGTAATTAATAAGCTGCAGTTCCGCACTCCACCAATATTGTCATTCTCACCGTATAATTCTAATAATTATATATCTGTCGGACATATCGCAAATGTAATTGCCGGTAAAAGCGAACGTGCAGAAGAAAAAATCGTAAAAATTGTAAAAGAAAAGTCACTACAGAATCTAAAAGGTAAGAGACAGAGATATATCGATTGGGTTGCAGAGGTTATAAGGACGGTATCAATAATTTATAAAGATGTAACCATACTTTAACGATTACTTTAAGAAGATTTTTGTATCATCTCTCAAAACGTTGTGTTGTTTACTTATCGGCCTAAAATAAACATCACCAGTATCACGTACGTATCGGCATTATTGGCGTAGCCTCGTACAAGTACTATAAAATTTCTTTAGTTGGATGTGACAATCCATGACCTTTTTCCATAATTAAACTTACTGCGAAATCCTTCGCCCACTGTAGCAGCGTTAACGTTTGGACATTCCTGCAGTGGCTTAGGGACGTTGCAAGCAGGAATACGGGGGACTGTAAAAGCAAAAGCAAATAACATTTTGAAAACTGAGAAAGTTTGAAAAAAGTCATTCTCCTGAGGTCATCTTTGTAGTGCATGACAGCAGAAGCCGAACCAAAGTGATGGCTGCTAAAGGTCACGCATGGCGGCTACCACTGTTTCAGTGGTATATATTCAGTATTGTTTGATAACAAGGCAGAACATATTTTATACCTGGGCACAAAAGAGTTCGCGAAAGGGCATTTGGTGAAGATGATATTCTACGAAAGCCGCGTCGGCTAAAATCCAGGGGGCATTCATCCCAGTTAAACAGCTGAGAAGAGCTCGGAGCAATTTTTTGCATGGTTTGAGTTAAAATATAGGGATGCTGGAAGATGCTTTAATACAGTGAAAAATAAAATTATTACACACTGTGTAGTTAACTTATCGGTCAAAAAAGGAGAAAAAGCTACGACAAAGAGAAAAACAGAGTGTAATTTGTGGAACGTATTACTGGTAGGCAAAAGCGTTGTCAAAGCAGACTGCAACTGAAATCCCCAGTGGAAAAAGTTTTGGTAGGATTTTGCGTCAGTGATGACATGAAAAGTGCTGGCTATCTGCCGTGACTGAATCTTTCGACTTGTACACGGAATGTGCCGAGAAAGCAACTTTATAATGCGTCAAAATGCCTATTCTGAATCTCAGTTATAGATTGGTGCGCCTGCTCCCTTTAGTGCTCCTGTTAAAGGTAGAATGCTGTCGATTTCCGGCTCTAATTTTATAAAGCCGTCGTAAATCATTTAATGATCAATTCTGTTTCACTTTTCCACGTCAACTCCATCAGGATAATCATAACAAAAACGCTGTCCCCTTTTGCGAAATCCCTCTGGGTAATTAATGATCTGCGCTCGTCGTTTTCGGCAGGAGAACTATCAGTTTAGATGGTATGGACAAATCCACCCATTCTTCTCGCTATTAATTTTCTCCGGATGCAACTCATATGCAACTTCAGCAGACAAGATCACAATTTATCTGTGCATACCAATACCATGAATTCTTGCCAAGAGTAACATGTATATATAACCGGTATCTCTTAGCATGGAAAGGTTCGCCACTTTGGTTTCACCGTGCCGAAAATTATTAAAGGTTTATGAACCTGAAAAAAGCTTGAAATCGCAGCGAATGCTGCTGTAATTTCTTCAGCAGGACATATACTGATATAGCAACTAATATCTTGTATTTATGAATCAGGGTTATTTTATATCCAATATCTGTATTCGCACAAAAAGTTTAAACAAGTCTTATTCCACTTTGTTCGTATTATAACCCATAAAAAAACAAATTCGATTCTTCAAGGGAATAAACTTTAACCACGTGCGTTCGCGGGAAGATAGACGAGACAATGCAGTAATACAAATCGCGGTTTCATTTTTTTGTATGAAAAAGCGTAAAAATAGCTCTTACAATAACCTGCCTAAAATATGAAATTATAGATACCTCTTGAATTTTTTCTTTTCGATCGGCGTCTGTTATATACGGCATCCAGAATAAATGTGTCAACATTAAAGATACCCTCTGCTTTCATTTACCGTATTTACAGCCACTGTGATCTGCCTAAGCGGTCGGCTAATAAGTCCATTTCTGTTTAGCCTTTTCATGATTTAATAAAAGTGAACTGTACTATTAGTTAAGAAAAGTTTGTTTCGGGGTTCCGACACAGCCGGACTTGGTAGGCTCATGTTGTGAACTCAGCGTTCGCCGCTACAAAACAGCCATGGATTATGCAGAACTATTCCTGTTTACGAACTAAACAATAAACTGGCACATAGCTTGACATTTATTTTGTGTATGATAATTGGGGGTTTTAGTTACCGTTCATTGCTGTTTCGCTGTGGAGGTGACTTCAGGGTTATGATGTATTTTTGGTCACATTCAAAGCATTCAGATTGATTGAAATATGTGGCCTGACACCAAATTAAGGTTGAATATTAAAACAAATAAAAAACGGGAATGTTACTATATAATATGCCTGTCGCGATTACGAATGGGTAATCAAAATTGCGTTACCTTTATAATTTCTTAGTGATTGGTATTTATTAACATTTTGGTGCAGTCATATAAGCACACAGTTCGATTACGCGGAATACTGGGAATCTGCAGCCAACTTGTGAATTATTGTTTGGCAGGTAATTTTGCCAGCCACTTTAATCATTAGGCACAAGTGGAAAATATTTTCAAGCCGAACTGATTGGTTATGCAGATTGATATTAAGGCAAGTGCTTTATGGAGATAACTGCATCAATGTTTGATGACTCTTTGGACGGATCTGACAAAGTATTCATGTGCTTACCTATTGAATGTCTATGATAACAGTTATACTTAACTGCCGTGAATGATGCAGTTCTGAATGGATATTATTAGTGCGCGATGTGCCTAATGACCACTTGACAACACGCAACATCGTCAGCCGGGAATTCGATTACAATACATGCAATTTAAACATTCGCCATATACGCATCCTCCGCGAGCATATCTAAAATCCAGGCAGAATAAGATTTTATGCGGGTATAAATTGCAGGTGTGGGACGGGCAAAGTTGCGACGGCATTCGGCGGCGCTGTAACTGTAAATGCCGGCGAGGAAATAACGATCATTTCGCTGGAACACTAAAGGTGCTCCGAGATCTCCATCAGTCTGAAACGAAATCAGTCAGATTAATAATAATCGTTCTACCTTAATAAATTAGAATTTTATTTGCTGCTTTTACAAATAGGGTAATAACGTGCAATTAAAAATTGTTTTGCAGCAAAGTAATAGTACAAACTTTTAAAATTAACTGTAAATATTTCGCGCAGATAAGGATACTAGTCAGACATGCCTCGCAAGGAGCTGGTGTTGTACACAAATATTTGTCGCTCTTGAGGTTGTGTTGCACTGATTCGTTGCAGTACGACAAGTCCAACATTTCCACTTCTGCGGTGTCCGCAAAAATTGTGGCATTTGAAAACGGCTCTGGAATAGTAATAAAACACTGGTTATTGCTGATTACATATACTCCATACACAGGTCAGTGCATGTAGACAACTGATTTCAGCCTTTTTCTTTACCTAAAAGTGGATCTCGTGTTGGCGCTGGAACAGTAAGCGGCACATGACGAAAGCCGCCAAACACGCCTTTAGTGCCATTTCGCAAAAAGTCTTCATCGTCTTCTAACAAGCACGCAGGAATTCGTGCAGGATTATAATCCGGATGGGAAGCGAACTTGATCAGCGCGATGTCCACTTCTATTGTATTCGGGGAGAAGTCGGGATGTAAGGAAATTTTTGTAGGTTTGACCTGGTGCATTAATAAATAAGTATCAATCGCACGAGATCTAGCACGCAGGGTTAATTTACGAAGCCATTCACTTGCAGCACCGTAAAAAGCAAAATCGAAGGATCAGATAGTTTTTATGTATCATCGAAGCAAAATGACCAACCTCAGTTTTAATTGGCCATGAGCGGAAATCCAACACTGGCGAATCCAACTGAATAATCATATCTCTGATATCCGAAAACCTATCGGCATATAAACCGTAATATACCGCAAAATACTCGAGCCGTACGTGTCAAAGCTGGGCAAAAGCGCTATTAGACTGTGTCAACAATAAAACTGGTTAATTACTTCGAAGCACACAGCGCGGAAGTTAGTATCCAACCAGGATGGATCAGAGTTCCGGAGCAAGCCAGTCGGCGAGTGTGGGACAGGATAGCGGCGTGCCATGGATGCAGTGATCGCGGTCGAAAACCGAGTTCTGCCGGCAAGTTCGGCGAGGGATATTCATGACCACAAGCAACTGCAAAATTACTGCGTAATTTTTGATAGAATGATACGAAGAGAATTCAGTGCAAAATATTAAGCCACCAACATAAATTATGGCACATGAAGGGATCCTCGTCGGCACCGCTTGGGCAATCAGGTCGGCTATCACAGACCTATTATAATAATATAATAGTATAATAATATTACATTAGTAATAATTATCGCACTCAATGCACCTTTTGCTGGTCAATGCACATTGCATCAGCTTCACAGTAAAATTTCTTTTGTCCACAGCGATCGCCTAAACAAAATATCTAGACTAATAACATGCAAATCAGTGTTCGAAGGTTACGGCACTAGGCTTTGCTAAATAGTTTACTGTTTAACAAGCGTTTCTGTTTAACAAACGTTTTCAAGAAAGATCCAGCTTTGCAGCACCCACCATAAACAACCAGATCAAATCCAGTTCCTCCTATGGAATTGTCAGTAACAAAGGTCAACACAACAGTAGGACAAAAACTCCTGTAATGGACGGGGCCGTCATGTCCGCAGTATTTCTTTGGTCTTTCGTTATTGCATGCATCGTTGATTTCAAGATAATCGAATTTGCAGTTTGCACTGCGTTCAATACCGAAGTTGCCGGTGTTTATGCGAATAACATTTGCAGTGTTATTGTTTCGCAGCACCATTTCGCAACGGAGGTTGTTATCGTATGTCTCGTTATCAGGACTTGGAGGCCAACGCAGGAAGTGTGGCTCGAAGTCTTCCAGCATTAGTGTGGTTGAGCAAGCCGGATCCGGTTCGGCCATCGGTACCTGACATGCGTACAGGCAATGTCATTCACTAATTCCTACTGTTATTAATAATTTAAATAACTCAAACTGATAAAGAAAAAGTCTTGTTAAGTCCTGGCGCTGTAAAACACGCTTATGCAATTTCTGTATTACCATGTCTTCTTCCCGGAAAAACAGCGCAAAGCCTTCTCTTTGGTTGCGATTATCGGAACAAAATTCCACCACGGCTCGATTCGATCGAGTAATATGGTCCGGAGGAGCATGGCTTCCGCAGAATGGACCTTTATTACGTAAGGCAGTTTAGCATGCGAGCATAGCAGCGGAAAGACTGGTTGTGCGCTTATGACCTTTAAAGTCAAAGTTGGTTTCACCACAAGGTTCGAATGTCGCTAGCTGTTCGTCACTCAAGCCTTCGAAAACTACAAGATTAACAAAAAACAGGTCATTTCATACACTTTGTAAGCGAGATTCAAAGTACTGTTGACAGAAATTTTAAACGAAATTTAAACAGGCTACGAATGGTCGTGATTTTCCAGTACCTCTTACATAATCCAGATTGCATCTTTCGGCCGCTTCGATAAAGAAATCCGCGTCATAATGGAGCAGAAGCCCCTAAAAAATTCAAACATCCTTAAAGTCGCTAGATTCTGGTGGTTGCTGTTAATTTGCTTAGAATAGATTCTAGGTCTGTACTCTGTACTTTATTCGTAGCGTTCGTAGTAAAATCATCATTATTATTATTATTAGCTCAAGGAAGCCGCTGAAGCAGTTTATAATATAGACTGTGTTAACGGTTTTTTCTACGAGTAAATTGCCAAAATTCATGGCTTACCTTAGTGCTGTTCTCCGACTCCAAAACCCACCGGCATTTGGAATCAGAAAGGTACGCAGCATTAGGATAATGAGGATCACTCCAAATGCCTCCAGTAGCATTCCGGACATAAGCTGTACCGCTACAACCATCTAAAAATCGTCGCCGTTATTAACTGCCACTGCGAACCAGGACAAATACTTTTAATACTAAAACTATACTGTTAAAAAATGTTTACCGATGTAATCAATGATTGGAGCTAGCGTAGGATAGACATAGGAATCGTTTTTTGGGCACTCGGCGAAATGGATGTCATCAATGGCTGCAGGTACACATAAACAAGTTTTCAAAGTCTAAACCAAGGAAAAGCAAATTAGTATGTTTATACGCACCAATATCCGAGCGGAAGCTGATCTCTCCAACCCCCAACGTAGCTTCAAATTCCATCTGAGAAGTGCAAGTATCAAAATAAAATTTGTGGATTATTCGCAAGCCATTAATGTACAAAAATTTCGTACCGTAAATTCCTCCCATTCATACTGCGCCCGATTTCGGAACTGTCGCCATCGATCTCCTTGATCACCGGAAACCGAGTGGACAATTTCGCTACATGCTGGCCAGCGTAACGAATTTTTATCGTTGTCGGTGCAGTTGGACGGAGTGACGGTTACGCTGTAAAATTGCAGTAATGCAGGTTACTGGCGTAAACTACTCGTGCTTCGATTAACGTATGGATATAGGATATGCATATTTCTTTGATGTTTCTTTTGTGTTTATTGGGATGTGATTGTGCAGCCATGACCTTTGTGCTACATAGTCACGCCCGAGATGCGGTAAACCAAGCGTGGCTATAGACTGCCGCACATGTGGTTAAAAGAAATCAAAGCAGAAATCTTTCCTCTGGAAATCATCAGTGGTTATTAATGGTGACCTTTACCACCGGAAATATATGTACATGTACGGAATATTTATATACATGTATATGGATACATGTATCCATCACAATCTAGTTCATCATTACTACAGAAAATCACGTTCCCTGTACACAAACCTTCGTAACTACTTCTCAAAAAAACTCAAATTCTCAGGATATCTTTCTAAATTTTTGGAACTTGCTAAGCTTTGTCAGTGCTGTTAATTGTTTGTTTGATTTTGCTTGTTACGAGGCCTTTTGTTTGTTGTCACTGGTTGAAGAACTGTAACAAGGTAGACACTTGTATTGTATACCATACCTTAATGTGCCCATTCCGGTGCCATACATGTGGTAAAAGAATTCAAAGCACAGATCGTTCTTCTTGAAATCGTTCAGTCGAATCAAAGGCGATATTATTCTGGCTTTATCACCCGGTTGGCTGGGACTGGAAGATTCCACATACATATATTTTCCTGCATCAACGAATAGTAGTCATTAGTAGGCTGTTAACAATTACGTTGGTGCTTTTCTCCCGCGCAATAAAGCTGCATGCGAATTAACATCGTGCATTAGATACTAACCCGCCACAGTTCCCGTAGTATGGTCCACGGTAGGCCCTATATTATTCAAGACAAACCATATTAAATAATGATAGTGGTATGTAATGAGTTATTGCACGCATAATTTTCATTATCTTAAAGACTTAAAGACAACAGAAAAAACAAAGAGGAAGAAAAACTCTTGAAGTACACTATCACATCTTTTCTCATTTGGGATAACTGAAAAGCCATACATAGCAAAATTACCACCGTTAAACGCTAACGTTTGGGTTCGGCGAAATTAACCTGTGTATTCCGTTTCTCGTTCTCCCGACACTCTGTGCCAATCCAGACCATCGTCAGTAGCTTGCGAAAACCCGCAGCGATTGTTTTGAAAATCACACGAGAAAGGAAGGGCTGTAATGAATCTCATATTATCAGGAGTCTTTTGTTGTGGTGGTTCGTTATGAATCTTTAGCGGCTGCACAGATCTTAAATAGCGCCGTCAGAACAAACAAATGCGCGTTGGCTGATGACTTTACCAATTGGCTGTGGGCCAGGTGGTTTTTCAATTAAAGGACTGGCAGCGCTGACCGTAGGAAACTCATCACCGGCACAAGTTTCCACGCGGAACCCGTCAATGGACGCATCCCCCAAATGGTCCTTGCCGGCGATACCTTGCAGCTGAATCTAAAGTCGGCACCATAATTTAAGAAAAGTACCATAATATGCTAAAAGGTCATGACGTATTTGCATGTTGATATTCGAAAGTTGCACTAGTTAGTACGAACTAATGTACTTCCGTGTTTGCAACCAATATACAAGTTTCAGCGACTGGCGAAACCTACTCGAAATGTTGGTTTCCCAATGACAAGCTCAAACTTGACCGGAAACCAAAAGTTATCATGGTCTCCTTGACGCGTATAAACAGTAGCGAAGTCTCCTTCTTCTTCGGCAATATTCACATTAATGGATCCCATATTTTCTCCCATCATATGCACATGGAAGGAAATGCATATCTTCGCTAAGACATAAACGAATTATGAAACTGGGTAGTACGTGTATACAAATGGAATAATGGACTCCATTTGATGTGGGCGTATCGATGATAAGACCGGTCTAGATTTCTTCGCTAATTTATCACCATTGTACTAATTAATGTTTAGTACAGTACTGCACTGTACCTGTATCCGCCGGAACGACAATAGGTGGGCTATTAAGATAGCAAGTATCGTTGATTCTTCGCGAAGAAGCTTCCACAAAAATGTAACCCGCAACTCCTAGTTGCAAAATAGAAAGTCAAAGATTTGCAAACGGTGTTCTGCATGCTGATAGAATTCCTTGTGAAAGCAGCAAGTTAAAATTTCTGTACGATATTGTAAGCGCTGCCGCACCTGTTTGTGTCCAGTCCCGGCTTGGCCCGGTATCTAAAATATAATCAAAAGTTAAACCGACAGTTGAACCAGTGCAGTTGATCCAAGCAGAGGAATAAAAATATTACTGTGCGATTATGGTCATAATTAATCTCGCAGTAATAACGCTCATACTCAAGCTGGGCGTAGTTGAATTTGACCAGGACCATCGAAACGTTTGATTGGCGTGAGTCCAGTTACAGAAATCATTCCTTTGAGCGTCGTAGTCACAGGACATTAACACGCTTCCTGCAAGTAACAAAGAAACACATTTACCCTCACTGTCAGATGTAAACATAAATGGGGCTGGAAACGGTTTTAACCATTATAACATGTAATTTACAGTAGATTCACTAGCCGATCGCGAGAGTTAAATATGTAAGTTGTAACCAAAAGTTAAGTTAGGCTCATTGTGTCCTACTCCAGTCAAGTTCATGGTCCATCAGATCTGTGTGTTTGTACGAGACCAAGGAAATAACCTTAAACGAGAAAAAAAGTATAAAATACGACCTTTTAACGATAAAATTATTAACCCATCAAAACCTATTTGTAGGTCCAGATCACGCCTACGATTTCCCCTAATCACTAAAAAAATTTTGAGTTGGTTATTGGACGTATCCAGCGCCGTAACTTACCATGGACCCGGTTTACCAGTTGCAATAACTGCTGTTAATCCCACGACAAATAACAGAAGAAAGGGTGGATTCCGTTGATTCTTCATTTTCGAAATTCCTCTCCTTCCCGTAATCTTTTGACAACAGTAATGCTATAATTGGTAGCCAGAAGAAAATCTCTTCCCTGCGATACCAATAAGCCGAGTACGTTATTGTACTGTAGTTGTTACTGCTAAATCATTGCAGTCCGTGCTAAACTTATCATGTGCTCCTTATCGCGGGTATCATACACAGCATTGTTTTATTTCTTGTGTCAATCAGGATCAATCGCTTATCAGTGGTGTACGGCGTGTTTCAGTATCGCCTACTAATTCTGTCGTGCCATAATTAGTCATAAAAGTAATTCGTCTCTATTTGTACCTACTCTTACGCAACAGAATATGCCTGTCGAGCTCATAGGGAAGAAACACATAGCGGAAGGCACACTTGCATCCCGGGTGGAACATTCATGTGCAAAATGACCGGAAGCGAGCGTAACCACCGCGAGGCGACATTTACGTTGCCAGACCAAATCAGCTGTGAGCACAGTACGATTTTTTGGCATAATCTAGGGCGCAACTGTTTTTGCTCGACTGCGGAGCTGAAAATACTAGGAACACGAAACAATCGTTTTCCCTAAAAATCCTTGAATGTGTTTGCATTGCTCACCGTTATTTTGCTTCTATTCTTCCCTCTATCTTTCGTAGTATTGCAAGTATGTTCACGTCCGGCTCTGTATTTGTAGAGGGCTTGGTCACCGCTTATTGTGTGCGTAAGTGTGTTCAATCTTTGTAGTTCTGGAACGGAATTTTCCATCTGATTGGCACGAATTGCGCAAAACAACCGCGAACCAGGCAAAATGAGTGATAGAAAGCTTCGCCGCAGCAATTCCATTGGCCGATCCCTGCTGAAACTGCAGGGCTTCGATTTTGCACAGGATTTCGACAAAGGGGCCAGCGCGAAAGAGGAGCACCGATGGCTGTTCGAAATAGCCTGGGAAGTGGCTAACAAGGGTTCGTTGGCTTTCTCTGCTTAGCTATGCCAGTTCAACATTGCATACCTTGCAGTGGGCGGCATATACACCGTAATCCGTTCGAAAGCACAAGTGACCGTGGATGAAATGGGAGAGCAGTATTTACTGATGGGTCCGTACAATGAGCACTGCGTCCGCACGGAAGTGGAAGTCATGGAGCCAGATCAACCGGCCATAAAAAGACTATAGAGAGCATGCGAAGCCAGGGCATCGGGGTACGTCGGCGGTTTATTGTATTTTGAATTTGAATAAATGGGAATCATGCTGTCATGGTTTACAGTGACTTTCAGACTGTTAATCATCGTTTATTTTAGTATGTTTTTGCAGGTTACTTATGGGCGCTGGCTGATTGATGGATATCCACGCGTGGTGCTGTTCCAAATCGGGAGTGCTGCTTGGAAGCTGGATGAGTGGAAAAAAGAATTATTTGAAAAGGGTGGAATCGGAATTCCTTGGTTAGATAAGGAATGCAATGATTGCCTAATCTTTGGCTTTCTGGTTGCTTGGTTCATTGGCGAAGTAAGTTTGCTCGTTGCAAGTGCTGTTCATAGATTGTTCATTGTTGCATGTAATTTTTTTGCGTCATAATAAATCTGGTTAGTAGTTGTACGTTGTAATTTATCACTATTTTCCGTACAATAGTTTATTGCTTTTTTAATTGTTTTGTTATTTTTTAAAATAATCTTCTTTTTTCGACTGCCAGCATTTACTTAGATAAATGCTGGTTTGTGTCAACTTTTACGGTTTTGTCCCAAACGATACTTTTGCTACAACTATTCCAAACGTGCGGTTTTTTGCAGTTTCGAGTCAACTGCAGAGAGCGACCGTATATTGCTTGCCAGTTTCACGAATGGATGGCCGGTGTTGGATTAATTCTTTGCCGTACTCGTGCCATCGATGTGGCGACGATTTTCACAACTCACGCTACCCTCCTGGGACGATTTTTATGTGCCGGTGCTGTGGATTTTTATAATAACTTAGACAAGGTAAGAATTGTTGAGCATCGAAAAGGATTGCCCAACATTTTCTGTTTTTGCGCAGTTCAACATCGACAAGGAAGCAGGTGATCGCGGGATTTATCACCGCTACTGTATGGAGAGAGCCGCGGCAAACTTTGCTCATGTCTTCACTACCGTATCACAAATTACTGCGGATGAATCTATCCATTTGCTCAAAAGAAATCCTGGTAAGTGGTGAAATTTTATTTCTTTTACGATGATTCGTTGTCTGATTATTTCTGCTTGAATGAAGATGTCATCACACCAAATGGGCTGAATGTTAAGAAGTACACTGCGATCCATGAATTTCAAAATTTGCATGCCAAATCGAAGGAAAAGATTAACGATTTTGTGCGCGGGCATTTTTACGGGTAATCGTTGTGAGATGTGTTCGAGATTTTGGCTTATGATATTACAGATGTGTCGTGTTTAATTTAGGCACTTCGACTTTGATTTGGACAAAACTGTCTACTTTTTTACGGCTGGACGCTACGAATTTAGCAACAAAGGATGCGACATGTTCATCGAATCTTTGGCTCGCTTGAACCATTGGTTGAAAGTAATAAATCGTGATATAAATCATGCTCAGAATGCACGAAATACTGTTATTCCATGTGTTTGCAGGCTTGCGGATCGGAAACGACGGTTATTGCTTTTATTATTATGCCGGCAAAGACTAATAATTTCAACGTCGATTCACTGCGTGGTCAAGCTGTCGTAAAGCAGCTTCGTGATACCGTCAAGGATATTCAAGAAGCCATCGGTAAAAGGGTTTTCGATATATCTTTGCGGTAAGTAAATAATTTTTCTCATAATTCTGGCTGACGCATATGTACGTACTACGTAGTAATTTTATGAGGAAGAAAAAATTTAAACAGCGTATCTGTATGGATAATCATTTCTGAATTGTGATTTGCAGAGGACATTTACCGAAATCGGAAGAGCTGATGAACGAAGACGAGATGGTGCGGCTTAAGCGCTGTATGTACGGTGCGCAGGTAAACCTGATTAATTTTTACGGTCTTTAATTAATTTTTACGGTCGGTGTTAGTTTTTTCTAACAACCCAAAACTTACGACGTTTGCTTATCTGTCTCTAGCGGTACAGTTTGCCTCCAATCTGCACCCATAACATGGTGGAAGACCATTTGGATCCGGTTCTGAATGCTCTGCGACGCTGCAATATGTTTAACATGCGTTCGGATCGCGTGAAGGTACGAATATTATGTTTCAGTAAGTGTCTAATCGTAATTCTTCGAGATCGAGCGGCGTGAAATGCGAAGCCTGTTCCCAATCAGGGCAGCATAAAGTTACAAAATCAGCTTTGACAAACTAACATCTATCACTAATCATTAATGTATTGCTAACTCGGTTTTTTAGGTAATTTTCCATCCGGAGTTTTTATCTTCAACTAGTCCTTTGATTCCTATGGATTATGATGATTTTGTTCGCGGGTGTCATCTTGGTGTCTTCCCGTCATACTACGAGCCATGGGGTTATACACCTGGTAGGTGAATTGTTATTTAAGATAAAGAAAGAAGCCGAAGAAACGCAAATAGGATTCGGTAAATGGATGCAATGCAATATGAAAGAACGTTTTCAAGCTTGTCTCAGCTGACAGTTATGAAAATTAGTATCGATAATGCTTTATTTGACGTAGCCGAATGCACCGTAATGGGAATCCCTAGTATTACAACCAACCTGTCCGGCTTCGGTTGCTTCATGGAGGATCACATAATAGACCCACAGTCGTATGGAATCTATATTGTGGATCGTCGTTTTAAGAGTCCAGATGAGTCGGTCAACCAACTCGCGCAGTGTATGTTTGATTTCACTCGGCAGACCCGGCGTCAGCGAATTATCCAGCGCAACCGCACTGAACGACTAAGCGATTTGTTCGACTGGAAAAATTTGGGAATGGTAAAGAAAAAGATAGAACCAGTAGAAGACAGCTCTTTTTTGAAAATGTTACTCATGTGCCTTAAAAATGGCAGTTTTCGGAACGTATTTTGCAGCTGAATGCATAATATTGCTATTGTTACAGTACTACATCAAAGCACGAAATCTTGCATTGTCGAGAGCTTTCCCGGACGAGTTCCCTACCGGTGATGAGGTATGAAAGTTATTCTGGTTGCATAATCATACAAGTGAGTAATTTCTTTGTGTAGTCCAAGAGTCGTCCAATCTCGCGACCGATGTCGGCGGCGTCTTCTCCCGTTGGGTACGTATTTGTCATGCCGGTTTTGTCGGTTATGCGGCTCATAACTTGTATAATTCATACCAAAAATTGCGGAATTTACAATAATTAGCGTTTGTATTTTGTAGTTCTCGTTCATCCACTCCGGTGCCGCAGGCAACTGAGTTAGCGGAAGCGGATGGGACTTCATCGTCGGATGAGGATGACGGACGCCGACATGAGTAAATAAAACGAGCTAAGACAGATTTACCAAGATCATGTTTACCAAGTGTTGCATGTTTAATTTCTGTTAAGGGTTTATTTATTTTGGTTTTTAGCTTTTAGTTGTATAATTCTCATGTAGAGGTTTACTGCAGTGTGCCACGCGCTTACATTGGGTTTCAATTTCGCTTTTGGGTGATGGTGCAATTGGTGATGCTGAATTATTGCTGATTAGAGATTCAACTAGTTTGCAGCCTTGACGGCTTTTCTTTCAACAGAGGTGCTCCAAATTACCTGGATTGATTTTGTGTACTGCTAACAGGCGGTACACTAAGTACTATGCAAGTAATATATTTCTGGCAATGTCAGCTTTCGAAGTTGTTGTGATACTTTTCGAAGCATACTTTACACAATTTACTAATCACTTAACTACGTACAATGCGGTGTTATGTATCTGTTGCTTTGCCAGAAGTCAGTTTACAAGCGAAGTAATGAAAATGCAAGAAATGAACTTTAAAATAGATTATTCTCAGTTAATAGCTTAATAGCACAAGTTTCGAAAATCCCATCCAGCAGTAAATAAAGAAATTTCACTGACCGGAAAGTGGGACCAAATCGCTCTAGTCTCTAATACAGGCGGGCTTTTGAGAATAAGAGAAACTAAGGGATAAACCGATTTCAAGAGACCCTATATTCAGCATATTGTAATGAAATTTTAAAGCATGTATTTAAAGGAATACTTCGTACTTATGAAGAATTTTTGCTGAATTTGAAGTCTGGACCCTAAACTGCAAAGTTCGACCTCTACTTTCCATACAGCGACAGCAACAATCGTACGTCAGCACGGATATTTAATATGGTTACATTTTCTCCAAGACGATAAAAAGTAAACAAGAACGCAGAATCTACGAACTCTTTTCCGCTTGTGTGGTCTCGACTTCTTCGGTGTACTTTCCTTTGAGTCCTTCCTTCTTTTCCCGCCTGGCTTTCGCTCGGCGTTCAATGGACCGCTTACGATCATTATCCAATTTCGGTTTAACAATGACGACCTAGAAATTCGATTCATGTACCAAAAGTTCAGCATTTCCGAAACCGAATAACACCATACAGTGATTTAATCGTTAATAATAGTTGACGGGAGTACTCACATTGGAAGGATGAATGCCAACAGGGACAGTAGCACCGTTGGCTTTCTCTCGGGTAATCCTTTCAATATGGATAACAAACTTCTTTCTGTAGACCGCAATGACTTTGCCCACTTGCTGGCCCTTGTAGTGGCCGCGGACAATCTGAACTTCGTCATCCTTGCGAATTGGCAGCGCGCGAACGCCGTGCTTGGTTCGCTGGTCTTTGGATAACGGGGCCGACATCAGCTTGCGGCGGACGTGGGAAGGCGCATTATAATATCGCTTTCGGTTCTTCCGGCGGGAACTGGTGACAAACGGGTTGATCTTCATGATGGCTGTGAAAGAAAACAGACCGAAGAACTCGTTAACACACAGAGAACTCCTTTGCAAATTCTCGCAGTTCTCAAACAACCTACGATACTGAATTTACAACAGTGTTGTCGTCGAAATATTTCACTTACCAAACTCTACTGATAAGAAAGCCGTTCAGTAAAAAAGTACGTGGCTGCAAAATCTGATGCGGAATGAAGTTCAATCAATCTAGAACTTCTCGACAGCGAAGAACCAGCCGCACCGACGCAAAGCGCATTGCAAATGAATGTACAGGGACTTTATTGGCGTGACAACGTTGCCCCCAGTACAGGAGAGTGACGAGCCGAGCTATACCTAGTTGACAACTTGATTCGAGTGAGCGCGCCTAATCAGCTTTTCGCTTATTTTGCGGAAACCCTGGAAGTTGGATTAACTTAGATAATAGATTAGAATAATATTATTATTTTGATTTTCATTTTCGAATAATGTTTTTGTGAATCAATCTCGTTAAGGTATTGTTTTTCTGCGAAAGAATAAAAAACTTATAAAACAATAAAACTACCGCAGAGTGCAGGGGTAGACAAAATAGAAGCAAACGTTACCACACTTCTGATTAATTTTGTGAGTGGCGCAGGCGTGCGTTCTCTTTGCGCTTCCGTTTCGTGTGCGGAAAATTTAATCCAAATTCTGGAATCTGGATCACTCAATCAGCTGTTCACTGCGGTGGCCCACTCTGGAGACGGGATTTTGGTTTTCTTTTTGTACTCGTACGATTACCACTTGGACGTTTCACACACTATTCTTTTTGCGTATTTTAGTGTTTGTGCCTTTGGTTTTTCATTTGGAAAAGTACTTTCGTTGTGTAAATTTGCCGCCATGTCGCGTCTGATTAGGAAACTGGTGCAGAACCAAACGGCGTTCTTCCTTTGTGGTATGAATTAAACTTAAACTTTTAAGAGTTTAAAACTTGATTACACGGCTCATGGCAGCTCCGATAGCTCGAATTACAACTTGTAATTACATTTACAAGTGCAGTGTAGGTAAAATCGGAAGGTGCCGTATGTATAACTATGCGTGCCACTAATATGTGGATGGCCTGCTCCTATATTCGTGTGAAGTAAAAGGCAGAAATGGTTTTGGTTGCAGACATGCAGGAGGCGTTCCGGCCAAATGTAAAATATTTTGCGGAAATAACGGAGAACTGCCGACGTCTTGTAAGTGAATTGCGCTGATAAGCGAGTCGTACTTGGTGGCACACTGATTAACTCTTACGTCCTTTGCAGTTGGAAGGAGCCAAAATTTTAGAGATTCCGGTTGTAGTAACCGAGCAGGTTGGAGTATGTTCAGTTTCTGTTCGGTGCATGCTTGTTTTTGGAATTGCTGCAGTGCTTTAACGGAGTCGTCTTGTAGTACCCAAAAGGTCTGAAGCATACCGTAAAAGAATTGGATATTAGCAGTGCGGCCGGCGTTTTCGACAAGACAGTTTTCAGTATGGTTATTCCGGAAACAGAGAAACTGATGTCCACAATGTGTGATAAGAAATTACAGACGGTAGTTCTTTTCGGAATTGAAGTGAGTCAACTGCAATAAAATATTGTTACTGCAATAATTGCTCTTAGGTTACAGTGGTTTTCAGTGACTTTTCACCTTTTAGGCGCACGTGTGTATCTTGCATACAGCACTGGATTTGCGAGCAAAGGATTACGAAGTTCATGTCGTTGCCGATGGTGTTTCGTCGAGATCGCTCAGCGATCGTGCATTAGCTTTCGAAGTGAGTGTACATTAAAATTTTTGGAAATATTATTGAAAATTTTCGATTTGCACGAGTTGTCATTGACGAATGTTGGCAACGAAGGAATGTTTTAGCTAATACACTCAGAAGAATGTATTCTGTTAAACAGTTACTGTTAACTTTTTAATGCCTACATAATAATAATAATAATTTGTTGTAGCGTTTGAAACAAGCTGGATGTATAATGACATCAGCGGAGACAGTGCTAATGGAGCTTCTTGGTTCTAAAGATCATCCGCAGTTTAAAGCTGTTCAGAAATTGGTTTTGGACAGAGCACCGGACACAGGACTTTATCAAACGTCTTAACGCTTGAGAAAATGTGGAATAGGTCTTCTGTCAGCAATTCCTAACTCCGAAGAATAACGCTGCTTATTGCCCACGCGAATGCTTTGATTTATCGTTTCATCGACCACATTATTTTGCTGATAGCTGTATTAGCCAATAGCCACACCGTTATACGTTTTCAGTGCTGAAATGGTGACCTGTGATTGTTCGTTAGATTGAAAAGTATTAATGTGGTTCTTCTAATTTGTTCGAAAATTGGATATTTGCTGAGAGCCTTGCGATGATTTTTCAGGGCGTGCAGGCTAATAGGTGGTTGAAGAAAGCACCACGTACCAGAAAACTTGCTTAAGAAAAGTTGCGGTTGTAAGAACTCCTTTTCGATATTATAAACCATAGAACTACTACATGCACACGTACAGATGCATACCTGTATGGTGAAAACAAGGAAACCTGAACACAAAAACAATTCGCTACAATAAAATGCGACAAGGCACAACCGCACCGCGGCAAAAACCCACAAAACCTTTTAACCACAACAACGGTAAAACTAAAATGTACGTGCACATTAATTTTATGACTAAGAGTAAGTACTTGGAATATTACAAAGAACAAATAACAGCATACGTCACCGCAAGAAAAACACACGGCATTCAGAAAATGCATGTCCACAAGACTGCAGCACGCAACACACTCGAATACTTTCGACATGATAAGGCGGTAATGGTTTCCATCTTCGGCTCAAGCATCTTTCTTCTCTGTGGCGGTTATTATACGACCCTCCTGATTGCGCGCCGTCGCCTTCCCATACGTCGATCCTTTTTTCGAAACCGTCACATTGATAAGGTAATGCAGTGCAACGCTCAATGCAGCTGTCATGAGCGGTAGGAACCACCAAGGGATCCAGGGCGTAGTTAATGAATAGTAAAGAGCACCTCCGATGACAGTAACAATCCAGAAGATCTCATTGAGCAAGGTATAAGGCCTTCGAGGAAGCAAATAATGACGCCCTTCAAAGCGGTTTGTGTGCTCAAACTGCTCCAGCAGTTTATCTCGTTGAACGAAACTTTTGTGCAGCCATTCTGTAGCATCTTTTTCTTCCGAAGGCACATTCTCCATGGGAATACGAGAAACTTTCATATGCGCCTGCACCGGCCGGCCTTTTATCAAGTTCGATAAGGTAGGCTCGTTAATTCCCGGACCATTTGCGAAACCAATTGTAGTATCATAAATCGCTCGAATCTACAATTACACAAATACAATATAAGAATAATTAGTCGTACTGTATTATAAAAAATGAGTGCTGAATAATACTGCTGCTATTACCGGAAAATTCGCAAAAAATAAAAAGCGTACATAATCACAGAAAACGCTGTAAATTTACAAAATCCGAAAAATTATCGTATTCCATCAATAACTGAGGGGATTCCCATAGTATAGGCTCACCTTATTCCCACTTTCCTTTATAGCCTGCATTGTAAGGACAAAGCCTCTTGTGCGAGGGGTTAACAAATGTTTCAGCATTGGGAGGCCTTCCTTCTTCGCAAACTCCATGCTGACGCTGTGCTTCGAAGGCGTGAAACGCGTTCCTTCCGGAAACAGCAAAATCCACACCGGATTAGCATACTGAGAGATCTGAGCGATCTGATTGGCGATGCAGGTGCGGTCCTTTTGCCAGTTCCGGTCCAAGAAAATAATTTCACCCAAACGCCACAGCCATCCAATCACCGGCACGTAAGATAATGAGCGCTTAGCGAACACTTTCGTTGCTGCTAACAAGGCTGCGCGTTCACAAATAAGCCATCCAGCCAGCCAGTCTATGTCGTAGGAGTGGTTCCTACAGACACCAATCTAATTAAGTAGCTGCAAATCTAATTGAACTAACTGCAATCTTACTGAATATCTAACATTTTAATCAAACATCGCAAATTATAACTGCTCAATGAGTCACTAGTAAGTAATCTTACATTACGACCATCGCATGCTCCGTCCCGATGTGTTTCTGAGCTGCCTCGTCGGTGTACAGTATCACTTCGGATGGAGCCCACCAATCGATAAGGAAAACCAACTGTGCCCAAACGGGATAGATGAAATAATAACTGATCTGGCGGTAGTAATAGCGAGAAAATGGCCAAATTATTATCGAAGCGAGAAATAATCCTCCGGACATCAGTATGCCTGCACGCCAAGAAACGGGCAATGTGAGCTTAAGACTTATCTCAACAATGCAAAGTGTACACTGTACACCATGCGAACTTACCGGAAACAAGAAAAATTGTAACAAAGATAACGGCAAAAATTGGGAGCTCTTTCCATTTTGCGAGTTGCTCCATGATTGCAAGCAGAGAGAATGTCGCACGGTAGCTGAGATAGCAGATATTTCTCTTTCTCTAGGGCCCTAGGCAGTTTGCACTGGACTGCAATAAGAACTCTACAGTAGCAGTAGCTGCTTGGGTTGGGGGCAAGCCATCAATCTGGAATATTAACCCCAATCGTCGCTGGCATTGTCCCCAGAATATACCCAAACACTCCAGATTGCGTTCTTCCAGTAACTCGAGCTTGTCAAAGCTGACAAACAAGTTGTATCTCCTGGAGAAAGTTGAAAAGGTAATTTCAAGCGGAAAAATCCGAGAAACTGGAAGTACTGACTGAGCATGCAAAATGCAAATCAAAAAGCTTTGTGACTGTACGAAGCGTGGCGGCCGGGGTGGGCGCAGCCTTCTAGTGTCCCTGACTTTTACACTTCGCTACTCAACCAGTTAGGTGCGTGTTTGTGTTTCAAAGCTTGAAGTTTTTAACTTCGAGGATTATAATATTACTTACATTACATAAATAAATAATTAAAAATGTGCATTTTGCTGTCGATAAAAAAATACGCTATGGAGCCATTCTTTTTCCAGTCAGTCTTCCCATTGTACTCCCAAACGCAAATTTGCTGAACTACAGTTTTTTACATAATTATATGATTTGGGTGCTTAACATCGCCACCGTTTCTGCTCATCCTAAAATGAACGGAGAGCCAGCTGTGACGGACCGTGTAAAGCAGAGCTTGAGGGAAGCATTCTCCAAGCAGGATTACTATGAAGCCCACCAAATCTACAAAAGCCTAAACTTCAGGTAAAGGGAAGCGCTTGATGGATCCAGCGTTTTACGTGTTAAAACCTTTTGTCCGGTCTGCAGTATATACTGCACTTACCAGTTAGCGTTATGTACGTACTGTATTCGATACAAAGTACTGTACCTCGTACTTACAGTTACAGGTTACTACTGTACATCAATGTTATGGCATGATTAACAATCATGAAGGTATTTTTTTTTGTTTTGCGTTTTGTAGATACCAGAGATTAAAACGTTTTGATGAATTGGCCGATATCCTGTATTCTGGCAGCATGGATTTTTTTCGCCTGAATACTGTAAGTCTGATTGTTGCGTTTTAAAATTTGTTTCGGTACAGAGTTGTCCTCATTCAGACACAGAGCGGAATCGACCTTGCTCGGCAGTTCGCAGAAATTCTGGAGAAAGGCAACCTTGCTGTATCCGATGCGAGAGTTCGTAGGTTGACCTTCGTTACGCTCAAAGAAACATCAGCACTGATTTTCACGTTGTGGTAATTTAGAGCAAATCGCCACGTTATACCGCGAAGTCCCTAGAGACCCGGAATCTGAACGAGCCATCTTTCTTGGCTCTGTGCTGACCTGGTCTGTCAACCACAATCCGGAATCGAAGGCCGGACATGTCGCCATTCATGCAGCTGTAGCGCGGATTTGCTGGGAAGGTAGGTTAGACTTTGATTTCAGATTTTCAAGTGCTCCGTGATTCTCGCATAGTACTAGTACATCCTAGTTTGACCTTCGGAGCCGTAATTAATTTTATCGCCACGCGGCTTCCGGCATACGTTAGAATTTATCGTTGAATTACATTACAGATTTTACTGAGAAATGTTTCTAGTCCAGATTAAAGTTAGTCTTTTTTAAGTTATCGCTGTGCAGTTTGTCCTTTCAAAATGCTTCGGTAGCGAAATATTTCCATTTATTAGGATAGCTAAATTATTATATTTACGAGAATTAAGGCATACTGTACGGTATGCAATAGTTTTCTGGGTTTTCTACACTGATACGATGATTACTTAGTTCGGATATATGCGGCCTTTTGCAGAACAGAATTATCCATCCGCTGTTTATCATTTCGTGCGTGCCATGGACCCTGTGACCTTAGCAAAAGTGTTGCACGATTTGTATGACAACCGAGACGAAATCAGAGAAACAAAAGGCAAGAAGGATGATCCATATACTTTTGGGGAGCTGGACAATGCGCAGGAATACGATCAACGACTTGTAGCAATTGCCGTAATAGAGTAAGGCTTAAGAATACAGCAGTAACCGTAATAATTATTAAAGCACCGTTTCTCTCAAATCAGGAGCTTGTCACTTAGTTGATTTGATGCAGTGAGTATGCTTGAAGACTTAGTGTACCTATGTTAATGTGAATTTTAGGTTTTTGGCTTTGAATCGCCACGACTTGGCGAAATTGCTCTTTACGGAATATATTTCTCGTCATCGCAATCCCGAAATAAGGAATACATTATATAATTTCCGTGTCCTTGCCCTTATCTCCGCTCTCCTCTCCGTTTGCTCAACAACGTAAGTGCGAAATTACGAACTAGGGGTGTACGGCTTCGCTTGTGCTGTTAAACAAGAGCGGCGCTTGAAGGATCGGCATTTACAGAGAACCCGGTTCCGAAGGAGAGTTCACTAAATTGCAGGCAGCATTGTGTGGCGTTTTTCCGGATAATTCCCGCATAGAAAAGGTATGCGTAAGCAGTGTGAATGTGTGATTATCGCGCTGCGACAATGACGTTGTTTAATTATTGCTCTAAAGCGCCGAATCAGCCAAGCATGGTAATCATCCCGCTTTTTCAGCTATTGACTTCGGTTGGACAAATTTATCTTAACATAAAACCAGCTGGAGGGCCTTTGCAAAGCATATTCGGTAACGCTGATTGTACATTTGGATCGACGTTAGTTTTTACTCAGAAAATACTTCCTTCGTAGCGATGTTCAAGAAAGATTCCGTCCCCGTATCTCAGCCGGAAACAAAGCCAGATGCTATGCACCACGACTTAGATTTTGATTGATCACTTTAAATTATTTTTATAAACTAAATAGATATCTCGGGTTATCACATGGCAAGAATACAAGCCGATCAGAATGAAAAAAATTCAACCGACTGCACATCAGGGTTCAACACAGAACACACAATAATTAAATAAAATAAAAGCACAGAATAAAACTGAAATTAAACGATTTAGGCGTATTATGCCATTGGTCCAGCAGCAAACACGCCGACTGATTAAACAGCAAACTATATATTTTATTAAACTGCGGGCGGATTGAAGCAGGAATAAAACATTACAGGAGCAAACAATCATTTACTGAGAAATAAATTCTGTCCACTCAGCATCACGCAACACTTCCATAGAATTCAGGAAGGTCTTCCCTGAGTAGCCCCCAAGAGCAAAAAGCGTACCCTCCAGTTCGACGGCTTCTAGATTCGCTCGAGAAATACTTAGGCTTGGGCCAGGAATCCACCGATTCAGCCGGGGATCGTATATCTCAACCGAGCACAACGACTGAGTTCCATCGCTGCCTCCGATGACATATAATTTGCCTAAAACCATCAATAATTCACTCAAAAACATTAACAGTTACGTTAATAAAACTGCAACGTAGTTCTCAAAAGATTCCGAGCCTGATCTGCTGAAGTATGGAGCCACATGCTACAATAATCTTTGTGTTAGTAACTACATCATATGTTGAGGACCGTAATCAGGCTTTATAGTGTTACGCAGTTGCTTGTCGCGGCTCATAACAGCAGAAAGCCTGCAATCACATACCATCGCGGTGCGTAACACCAGCTCCCCGTCGAGCCGTTTGCAAAGGAGCAACAAACGACCATGAATCGGCTCGTGGATCATAAACTTCAACTGTATTTAAACGATCCCAATTATCACATCCTCCCACAACGTAGATTCTTCCATCGAGAATATCTATCCCCGCTTGCGATCGACCTTGAATTAGCACAAGGTCAAGCCATATAATGACGATTTTCCAAAAAAACGCAACCGTGAACTAAAGGTACCTGTCTGAAGAGGAGCATAAGGTAACCACTGATCTACGTCGGGATCGTATGCGTCGACGCATTTCAAAACTGTTTGCCCACTCCATCCACCAATACACAAAGCTCGTCCATCTAACGCGCAGACGCCTAGTCCAAAGAAACGTTTTCCAATTAAAGGTGGTCAAAAGACTCAAAACAAAAGCTACAAGAAAAATTTCAACTTTCGACGATTATGTAGCGGTCTTGCTATGAACCAAATTTCGAACCGGCAAAAAGGTTTGGCACAATACTCAGACAAAACTTACCTGCACTGGATCGTGCAGAACTTAAAGAAGCAATGGACTGCCATATTTCGGAATCACTTGTGTAACATTCCGCTGTTTGTAAATCTTTTGTCCCATCGGAACTACAAAACGCCATCAGTTAAGCAGCTCTCAAACGAAATGGAAAGGACACCACCAATGAAAGTACAATATTGATGGAATCGTAATTTTTTACCCACAAACGGCGAAAATAGTTCCCTTTACGATGGCAATATCAAAGCGCGCTCTGGGAGTGGACATGGACGGCAGAGTAGACCAGCAATTCGCAACGGAATCAAATATTTCCATAGAATCAAGGCATTCTCCCCGATTATATCCACCTATGGGAAAAAAAGATGTAAACCAGTGATTATTTTGATCGCCAATGTGAAGTGATTACAACAATGAACACCAGGTGTAATCATCTTGATTCTGAACAAATAAAATATTCTGCATCTCCTACTGAAACAAACCAACAGAGCACAAAACACCTAGACCGACATATAGTGAAGTCACACGATATTTGTGTTTTTTGTGTCAGGCAATACTTTAATAAACTGGATTCATAAAAAAAATATTTACAATGTAGTACTTACTATACACATGTTGAGCTTGTCAGTTGTATTTGTACCCGTACGCCTTACTTGAATAAAGTGAACAAATTAAGGTACACGCTACATAGAAATAATGGATATTTTCCACTGGAAAATCAATCGAGTAATGGAAGATACAAATATCATTTGTTTAAAATTTGGTCATGAAAGTCACAATGGATCAATGAACTCACCAACCACAATGATCTTGCTCTCAAAGGAAGCAGCGCCAAATGCGCATCGCGGGGCTTTCATCGGCGCTAGCGGGTTCAGCACATTTTCCTGGCCGTTCTCTTCCGGCACTGCGACACTCTCGACCGTGCTGACACTGATGTTGGCGGCAATCCGCTGAACTACACTGAGTGATATCAACTGCCGATCCGCAACTGTCAGCGCAATGTGGGTGCGCTCTGAAACAAAAGATCCATGACGCCCGTTACAAACGATTACCGCAACGACTCCTCCAGCAGCGTAGCAGTGCGTCAAATTACCCGCTGTCGGCATAGCGGCAATCAGTTTCCATTTGATATCAACTTCATCCTCATTCTGTATCAAATGCCCATTACTGTTTCCGGAGAAGAGCAGCTGTCGAGCACGAGCTGGATTGCGATTTAATGAGTTGGCTCTCGAAGATTTACTTCCATTTTTGTGCTGGGGAGCGGCTTTATTTTTGCTCATGATCTTATAATCCTTTAAAGAAACCAATCAGATTCGAAAAGTGCAGCATGCAGTTTTAGCCAACACCTCATATGTACGAGCATACATCCATACCTGCACAAACGTTTCCCGATTTAGGCCTTTCTCATTTTCATCCAGCTCGTCCAATTCAACACAGTCATGCAGGATATTATCGTCCCCTTTGACGAAGAGCAAATGGACCTTCTCTGTCAGTGCTGACATGTCCCACTGGTCATCCACAAGGCATTTCCGGATCCAGTCCACTCCCATTTGGCAAAGCTGAAATTCGTTGGTGTGGCTGGCTTCTTGTTCAGATTTCTGAATAACTTCTATCTGCAATTTTATGCACAAGGGTTAAAAACTTAAAACAGCAGCTCACAATCAAGAAAAGAAAACCACAGAATTTATTACGCAGAAGAGTTAAACAGTACTACTAGCAAACAGTCGAAATTGAATTTCTTTCGCAAATGCAGTTGTGTTGTGTATTCAGTGCATGTGTGCAACATAAACAAAAAAGCGCCTACCGAAAAAGCATACAGTATACACCCATAAAAGCATAATTCAAAAAATTAAATACTTAATTTAGTGCGCTATAACTACGGCCCTGCAGCGAAACTGTTTTCGAAATCAAACCAACAACATCCTGTCCCTTCAAATAGCTCCCAGCCTTTTGTTCTACAGTTATTAGTTACCTGTACGCGAGGGAGAGCAATGAATTCCGGAGTCAGTATGGCTTCGGCAAAGTTTTCTTTGATGAATAGATCGATTTTATCCGCCAGGGCCGCCGTGTATTCCCTATTGATTATGGATCGTACACCTGTATTTAAAATAACCTTAATCCTACGCCAGTGACGACAACACTAGAAAAATCGATTGTTAATCGAAAACAAGCACCTATGCAACTCTGGACTGTGACGTGCTGTATGAGAAAGTCGCCAAGGGCATGCACCACTCGTTCCATCTGCAATTTGGCAGCTGTTTTGAATAGGGCTTTTGCCGTTTCCGGTTTGGCTGTCAACCTAACAGAGCATAAATTCCTAATATTTAAGGGAATGAATTAATAGACGCCCAAATAACCACATTCTGTCGAAGTTACTGAGCACAACTCAAGTCACACGCAGTCACAAGTCCTAATAACAGACAGCTGTGAACGCATTTTTTATTGAATCTGAAATGCTGAAAACCGTATACAAGCCTGTACATGTCGAGCGTATGTTAAAAAACCTTCTCTTAATGTAAAATTAAATAGTAAAGACTAACGAGCCATTTCGCGATTATATGGGCGTACGCAGTAACAAGTAACGCTTCCACATGAAATTAACCATAAAATTAATACAGTATTGCTACAGGTTCCAAACCTGCAAGTGTATGCAAATTCCACCAAAGCTTCTACAGGTTCATACTCCAACCCCAATACATCGAGTTCAAATGTGGGCCTCGGCTCTTTACTGAACATTTGAAAAAATCGTGGACTTGCCAAGGCCAGCACGCACTTGTGGCCGGCAATTTCATGCTGACCAACTTGCAGGGTAACATCACAAAATTCGCGATTCTAGAAAAATACAGCGATCAGCAAAATAAAGCGCGCAGACTATATAACTTTGTATTTAAAATTGTCCGCCGTGGAGATTGCACTTACACGGCGAAGAATATTTAACTGCTGTCCAAAGGTTTCCTGTGCGTAATTATCCACGAACACAAATTCGTCGGGATTTTCCTTTGCCATCAAATCTGCTTCACTGTCAGTCATCTCCATGTTAGAGTTTCCTTTGAGCACTGGTGATATTTAAAATCGTCATCAACTGCACCGCTCCACATTAAAATAAACAAAACTGCAAGAAACAAAAACATACGTTTAAATAATATCCTGTAGATGGAATCATGGAATCCTTGTCGACAACAATGACGCACTTTGTTAACGCACGTGTCTATTAAACCTTTCGTTTTGATAATGCATAAAACCTTTCTGTAAAAGCACTGAAACGCCGGAAGCGGCAGATCTCACAGGCAAACTACAAAACCAGCATGCTTTTTTGCTCACGTCAGTATTCCAGACAACTTTTACTTACATTAAAGTTACACAGGATGCAGTTATAAGACAGGTTTGCCGTTTTAATACGTGTACTTATTAATTACATCGATCTAGCGTCACGTGCGTCCAGTTTGGTGTTGCTTGTAAAATTTGAATGCTTACTTGTGAGTGTATGTGTGCCTAAAATATTCTTCCGATGTGTGAAAATTCTTAAAGAAAGCAGCAAAGAAGTCTGAGATCACATTACGGGCGACTGATAAAATCTCCGCATTCTGTTGAATTTATAGTGCAATCCAAAAATCGAATCAAACAACTTCTTCAGTTTTTTAATTTTTAAATAAATCTTTAAGCAGATAAAACGCGCCTACAGGTTCAGTCAACGAACGATTGCTATTACAGAAGACCGTAAAGACTGGCTGCGTATATGTCAGCTGTGCTGCGGCCATATGGATAAACCACATCGTAACTTCCTTCGCAAAGTCCTGGAAGATTCCATAATCTCTTTTGGCCGACAGAGCTATATCGATTTTTTACACCCATTCGGCACTAGCTTGCATTCCAGCCGTTCGTTTTATCTCAAACAGCTTCCCAATTATCCGCCTGCCTTAGGATTACTATGGGAAAGAATTAAATACAGAGTAATTTTAATGGTGAACGGGTAATTCAAAGCAGAGATTACGCTGGCAAGACTCGCCCTAAAATCAGGACATTCCTTTAGCTGCAACTTTGCTAGCGCTTTCCGTTTAAACGTAAATAATTTACGACACCGATATGAATACTCCAAATGCCCCAGGCAAAACCCCGAGGAAATTTCAAAAAAACTTTTGTTTACAACATCCGTAGAGGTGAGTGGCTGCGTGCAAAGTCAAACATTAATCTACAAAAGTTTTCAAAAAGCGAATTAAACCAAGTTCTCCATATTCAGTTCAAGGGGTGCTAAATTCTAAAGGAAATGGCTACGGTTAGTGTGGTAAAGTGATGGCATCGCATCGGACGGGAAAAAACTGAACTGTACAAAAAAATTTCTGAAATTCTTGGGTTCACAAACACCGTTTTTTAGACGTGTATCACTGTGTGTGCTTGAGCAATCCTACGAGTACGACTTAGTCGCCCAAGAACGTCTGATATTTCACTCCAGAATGTTTTTGACTTGGTATTTGGAAACTCACAAGTTCGTAACCTACTGAGTACTACGCTGAGGCAGAACATGTCGTTTATCAACTCTGCACTCATCCGCGTAAGGTAGTGTATAAACACATGTATTTATGTTGGTTTCGCGCCGGCGTCTCATCGCCTCTGCATATAATTGCGGCAACCACCAACATCGGTTCTGGGAATCCTAAAACAACTAACCTACACTGTCTACGCCTAATTACTAAGTTAATGTGCAAAACACTACCGAAATCACTGCACAATTCTTCGAGAAAGTGTAAGCATGCGGTTTCAAAAAAATTTCCGTAGTTCGTACATTAAAGAAAAACTCAGCAATACAACAAAATTATGCAGCTATTCACTGATTCGTGTTATGCCGTAATCCGTAGCACAGTGCCATAAAGCATAAATAAGTATGTAACTTTAATCATTTTCAATCTCTCTGAGTGTAGAATCAAAACGAGCGTCGCAGTATATCATAGAAAATCCATGTACGTGAATTTTCTATGCATTAAAAAGTTTGGGGCTACCGCTGTTATACCTTGAAAGCTTGAATCACAGTGCTATATCACTGATTCTAAAATACCTTTTCTGAATTACCGTGTGCCTAAATCGCAACAGGAAACCGAAAGCACGACCCAACGATGTTCCAGGTATTCGGAAACAATTATTAATTGATCGCTTAGAGTTAAGTACAGTATTCTGTACCCAGTAATGAGTAATACAAAATCCCAAACGATAAGTCGCAATACCGCAACTCGTAAATATTTCTATAAAAACCAAATCCAAAATAGCAAAAATTTAACAAAAGCAATTAATATTTAATGCTTCTACAAATCTACAATCTTTAATACCTCTCGGAGCACGTTCCAATCCCCATTATTCCACCGCAAAAAAATCGAAACGCACGGCCTCAAAAATATTGTCCTGGTCCTGGTCTCCTGGAAAATCAAGTCCTAGGAAAAAGCCACCGGAAAAAGCAGTCTGGTTCACGTTCCCCAGTATTTTCCACCAGTCTAGCGATAAATCCGCGATAAACTATCAAATGTGGTCATGAAGGAAATGAGCCGATCTGACCGTTCATTGTACCTTTAGCATTTGCAAAAAGATAACCCGCATATATACGAAAAGTAAAAGTCCGATATTTTCGAGTCCATTTCACCCATCACGATTTCAGACACCAGATAACGCTACACTGCAACGCAAGCAGAGAAACTAAAAACACGATCTGTTCGGAAACGGCGGACGAAAAGCCGTAAAGTGGTGCGGTACGCACAGTGCGTATGCAGAACGAAGCCAAAATAATACCCGACACCGGGAATATATACCAGGTTGACCAATTACACGCGTGCGCCCGCTGCGCCGCCGTGCACCCGCCCAGAAATAGAGCAAACATTGCTAGTCTGCTAGATCAGTAGATCTACCGGTACTTTTTTACGTTTGGTTTCCGGACTTCGGATAAGAAACCAGAGTTCATTTCCAGTTCATACCAGAGGAACCAGACGGAGCCGAATTTATTTATTAAACTCCACCAAATTGTATTCAACTGGATTGTGGCACATACTGTACGTACAGTTTAAAATGCCAACTTGAAATACTGTACTAATTAGGTGACAAGATCATATAATAATTATCATATTTTTCAACTTAATAAATACATCTTCAAGTAGGTACAATGTACTACGGAGTAGTATGTACAAATTGTACATATAAAAAACTCGTTCAGGTTCTTCAGTCGTCACTGTGACTTCCAGATAATTAGATATTCAAGAGAACACTGATAATTAGCACGCAGAATTACAAATTTTATTCGCCCTGGGCACTTAATTAAAAAATAATGTAATATACATATAATAATTATTATAATACTATTTATATTCATTTCATAGGCAGTCATTATTATTAGTCGCAGTCGCTCTAACGACACTTTCATAGGCTTCCTTACGTTAACAATTGCAGGCAAAATGTTACGATCAGGCCACTCGCGGATAATTTCGCTAAATGCGAGAGCGGTTCGTACAAGAAATGCCACTGGCTGTCGAGCTGACAGTGAATTTCACTGCTTCAAAAAGTTCCCGTTAACAAGAAACTAAAGTAATCGGTTCTACTGAATTTCTGCCAAAAGACAGTAAGATTATCCCTGAACATCTGCACGCACAAAAAAACTCGTGTAATCGTTTTACTGACTCTTCATAAACGAAAAACTGCATATAGCCCAATAAATTCCCAATAACAACATTCACCGCCAAGAAAGCGTAAAAGGTACTTGTATTTGCGGATCACGTATCCCGTTGCGCACCCGGCATTTCTTGGGCTAATTCACTTCTTGCCATGAGAAAAATTTCCTTCGCAATCTGCGACTGCAGCAAATATTTAGCTTCGTATTTCATCGAAGCATCATACAGAATTCTAATAGTTTCCCGGTTGATTGGAATTCGCTCATTATCCAGAATGCCAATACAATTGCGTATCCTAGCCATACATTTGCGGACCTCCAAAGGAGCCACGGAAGTAGATTTCGTGGATGAGGGAATCTGCCCTGTATCGTCCATCTTAACGGATACCTTTTTAGCATCGGTATCGGTCAACTGCACGTAGATATCCTCTTCTTCGGGGAAATGCTGCTGTCCGCTCGTTCGAACCTGCTCACCTTGATCCAGTCCGAGAGGTATATTGAGTTGGCGCTGCGTCGGTGCAATCCAGATCGCACCATTCACGCCGATAATAAGGTGCACTCCGAATGTTTCATAGGAAATAAAATGGCCTTTACCTCGGCGGGTTAGTTTTGGCTGCACCTGCAAAAGCATGCCGTGCACGAGGCGGCCGTAACGGAGACTGCGCGTATGAAGGACTAATCGGCCATCCGCGCCGGTCTTCTGCACTTCCGCGCTAATCAGATCGCCTTCCTTTAAATAACCTCGCATAAAGCCAATGTCTTCTTCTGTTTTTCTCCGCAATTCACCACTCGGCAAATTTATGCCGCCTAAATTCAGGATACCATGGCGCTGCGCCCCAACATCAACCTGCAAAAACCATTTATTTCTGCGAAAACTTGCGAAACTTGCGAAACGAAAAGGCATATATATCATTTGCACATAGTTAACTAACTTAGCTTACAGTTGCCACCGTACAACCTCGAATTTCTACGCCACGCATTACACAGGTTTTAGCACAATAAATCATGACTGTTACAGATCTTTTTATAGGATCAAATTCAGAGAGGGCATTACGGTTTATTAAGAGTACTTACTGTATGCGTGAGAAATACACTTACAAAAATAAAAGACAACTGATAACAAATAAATCAAAAAACCGTATCAAAACTTACCATCCAAGCCTTTCGGCCAACTTGGATTATTCTCCCCACAATGATGTCACCGATCTCTCCGATATAACGAGATCGGATAGGATTAATCACAACAACCCTGGTATAGATCTGGCGAATTCCGGCAACCGAAGCCAACATCTGCACACGCTTTTCGGGAAGTACAGAGCAGTAAGAACCATGCCCGTCCATCCAACCCTCGGCGTTCTCCATTACCGTATCTCCGGGTATGTAAACCTGATTATCGCGCAATTCGGGTTGCTTCCATTTCCGAGGGGGAGAGACTTCGGGCATTTCTTCGTCCCGGATCTGCAAGGCACTACCAGTTGACGCTGTTGCCCGCTTCGCAGTGATCGCAATGTTGACTGCCATCGTTTTGGTTTTCCTATCTTTCCCCGGGTACCGAACAACGTGAAGTGTTTATTAAGTATCAATGTTTATCTACACCTTCTTGCTAAAAATTTCACCCGCTGATCATGTCATGAACACAACAATAGTAAACCGTAATAAAAATGCATGTTTATAGTTTTGGCTTTCAAAAGCCGACCAAAAGAGCGCATGCAGCACGCACTTGGCAAGCTCGTATGAAGTTGTGGGTTGTTGGGGACTCGGAGTACTGTACAGATAGGCGCTCTGTTTACATGCCAACCGCCGGGATTTCCGCAATAAGACGCGTTGTCTAAATCGCAACCGCAGGAGGTTGCGGTGCAGTATGCTGCCAGTCAGAACGGGAAACCCGAGTACTTTAATTCCTTTTTTTTGTACCGATTTTTTGTTTATTTGAAATTTTTTGAATCTTCTTCTGGTTGTTGTAACTTGTGATAAGGTTTGGATTTGTTCGATTGGGATATCCATCCGCATCAGTAAATTATCGCTTGCCTGGACTGCCGGGTCTTTGACGTATAAAACTATGTCGCTGGCACGGAAGTTTATGGTAATTGGGAAAGTTGTTGAAAAGCTCTCGCCAAAGATTTCCCTAGTGGAAGTGCAGACAAATGAGCTCGATCCATACCTGCGAATGGTACGCTGCAATTCGTTACTGATTTATAACATTCTGAAGCTACATATAATATTCAGTGGGCAATGAGCTTGTGCTGTGTATATCAATGTATGTTATGTTACTTATGTATCATCACACTAATAAGTAATAACTAGTAATAATAAGTGACGCTATAATAACTATCGCTGGATGTTGTATCCTGTGTGTATGGAAGTACGGAATGCAGAGTGTGAACTGAGTGATTGTCTCTTTAACCCCTCGTCATTTTTTTCTGTTCTAGTATTTCGGTCGTTATAAAGAATACCGAACGGACGACGGTCCTCACTACACGAAAATTGGTGATTACGTTATGATCAAAGACAAAATCAATCCACAGCGTGTTGATTTGGTGTATGAAGTTTCTGAAGTCATACATCGATGCGGCCAGCTAATGGATCCTATAACCAAAAAAAGAGTCGTTACCGATAAGGAGCGCGTGGATTTTCTGGAAGATTTGCGGCATATCAACCAGCTGCTGCCTGACTACACAGAGCAGACGGGGCTACGGTATTCGGATAACGATGTGGTCCATGGCACTCCGCAGCCACCGAGCGACAAGACAAGTTTTCATTCATAAAATTAATGTCGCATTGCTGGGTGGTATGTCGGTGTTGACGTGTTGTGGCACTTGTGTGTAGATAAATAAATGGCTGTATGTATTTGATCTTTTGGGCGATTCCGTATTTTGACTTAAGTTGATGTGACCGGAAGTCCCAGTTGTGCAGTTTCCGAGGATTTGGATTTTGGCATTTCTTACCGTTAGCAGTTAGCAGTGACCGTTTTTCAACTTAGAAATGTCCATGATTGTTTAAGCTACCGGAATTTGTTCTCTGCTGAACTCGTTCGTATGCTCTGCAAGTGCAAGTGTGCGTAATAAAAAGAACTGCCTGACTGGTAAAAACTTCGAAAACAAATATTTCAAAAACGATATTATTCTATTAACTGTCACTTGTCACAGCAATATTGCACTAGGTACATTTGTGTGTACTGCATAGTATGATGGTGATAACGCATAGTATGATGGTGGTAATATAACTGTCGAAAATTATAAATCCGACTTCGATAATATTATTTTTAATTTATTTTTCAGTGAGCGACTTCTTTTTGCAAACCCGCAAAACTGTTATCTTTGAGAATGCAATTTCCCGGCGTAGCGAAGAAGCCGACAATTACTTACTTACGAGTATACGTATATTATACTCATAGTCTTATCATTCACCTTTCGTTTCGCAGCTTAACAGATTACCAGAGTTCGCGATTGGTGCTCCTTGTTTTTAATAGATTTTTAAATTCTGTAAGGTTCTATATCTGTAAGTAAGTACTGTATATCCAATCGCCGGTTGCAACCGAAGTTAGATCAAATTTTCGCTGGAATATGATTACTTACATACTTATATGATTACTTACTTACTAGAATATGATTATATTTCTCATCTCTCATCATATTATAAAGTGTCCGGTTGTCTTTTGGTTTCGGGAATACGGTGTAACGTCGGCGTATAAAAATAAAGGCCTTTTGCCTCGTATTTCGATCTTACCACCAGATCAACTTTAAGGATCGCCTATATACGATAGCTTGGCAGGGACAGAACTCAGATAACCTTTCAGGTAAAAGCTTAACAAAACTGCTAACATATCCCTTAAGAATCGTTGAAATGTTGCTGTTGTCTTTTTCTAAATTTCATATTGTTGGCTGTAAAATGAGCGAGTATACCGTGGGCGTTCTTGCAAAGAAAACGAAAATCGAATTTAAACACGGCCACAATACAGGATTCCTGCAGTTTTACAATAGGTTCAACATACACTAAATGGGGGTTTCATTTCACCTACAAATACCGCCTGCAGCTATTTTGCTAAGAATTTCCTACGCGGAAAGAACCTGGATCATTATATAAACAGCAAAGCACGTTTCTTCCATAAATACGTAGATTTTAATTCTAGCCCTCAGATGCGCAGGCGATTATATTAGACATTCTCAGGCGGCAGAATACTGCAGTTTTTTCCAGTTGGTCGTGGTAACCTTTATAGAGAGTAACCTTTTCTTCCGTCTCTTTGTACATCAATCACAATTTCATACACATCACCTCTAGTTATCTGCAATAAATTAGCTCCCGGTTGCTACAATATAAAACTCTGTAATATAATTACAGGTGAATTCAAGTAATGGAGAGTTTCCATAATAGATCCTTTTTGGCTAATGCCACGATGCCGGTTACTCACACGTTGACAGAGGTGAAATGGACACCATCGCTGATTGGCCAGGCAGTCGTGTTTGGTCTGTCGTTCGTTTCTAACGTTGTTGTGTTCGTCGAATTTGTCCGCGTTCCATCCCGACTAACGCCATTCACAATGTACCTGCTGGTGTTATTAGCCACAAACATTGCGTTTCTCATCTCCGTCCCCCTGATCGAGATGCTGAATGAGTTATATGGCCACTGGTGGATGGGACGAGTATGGTGCAATATTCACAACTATTTCAACGGGGTCGTATCTGCTGCCCAGATTTGTGTCCACGTCACCATTTCCATCAACCGCTTGTGGGCCGTGCACTATCCCATTTCCTACAAAAATCATCATAACAAAAAAGTCGCACTAATCACTAGCTTTGCGGCCATCGCGTTTGCCAACGTGGTGGGACTACCTGGTTGCATCAGAGATGCGCTGTATTTCTCTATTGACCTCAAATATGGCTGCCACATCAATTACTCGGCGCAGATGCTATGGGGTCAAATTCAGCAAACACTACTTCACATTCTACCTTTAGTATTTATTATCATAGCATATATCCATTTGTGCGTTAATCGAATTCGGCGGAAGCGCAAGCTACAGGATCACTCGAGCAGTGGTTCACGGAACGCGGCCGCTACCGCCGCGGATGCTGGTGCTACCAGTGCAGAAAAGAACAAGACAGGAAAAACCACAAAGGAGGCTGTCAAGCCATTTTTAGTGTTGTCGCTGACGGCGATCAGCGTTACTATCTGTTGGACGCCGGCTGTTATCTATTTCGGAGCTATTATCTTCTCCGGCTCATGGATGTCGGGCACTTTCTTCATTGTCTCGGTGACCTTTTATTCCCTGCAGGCCTTAGTGGATCCGTGGCTGTTTGCCTTTGGTTTGTTGGCGGTCAAGAAAAACTGGAACTCCATCCGCTGCCCAGGCTGTTAAACTGATGAATGATTAACCTGCCCTATTAATAGTTTCTGTGTTATCAGACATACTTATGCGTTCTGGCTGAGTGAGTCACGAAAAAATTGATGTGTTATAGACTTTTGCATATCGGTTCACAAAAGTCACGTCCGATGAGGACATGCTAACGTACACACAATACTTTTTTATCTTGATCAGTACAATTATCTGCGCTGTGTACGACAAATTTATCGTCAATACACGAAAATTGTCGTCGATAAGAAGAATAATATGTCGAAAACAGCAATTCAAGTTGAATTCGCGCGAATACATCGCGTAATGCGCGCGGGTAAACAGTGAGCATAAAATTAATAACAATCGTTTACATTCATTTTGCTTTCTTCGCCCAGTTGGTTATTGTGCTGGTACATGTTAACTGTGAAAATTATTTTTATAATTATATATGTCTTATTAGGTTTTGTTACATGGCTAAACGTGGCGTAGCTAAAGCATTTTCGCCACTGAATTCTTTACGACGTAAAAACAGCAAGAAAACGGTTCATCTTTTTTTAAAAGTCTCAAGCACTCTGTGAAGTTACATTTTGTTTAATTATTTGGATAAAATAAATAACCAGTAGAAAATCGACTTCGTCAGAAAGCACCAAATGCGATTGCTTTCCCAACACGACTAGTAGAGTGTGGTCAGTCAGCGCGCCGCGTGTGCCAAGCTAACAAGACCGTAATTATAATTAATTGTGTAAAAGGATATGAATGCATACGCATGCCTACTTGAAATAATTATAACGCCGCCATAAATCGCCATAGTGTACATGCATGTACGCGTACTTATTACGCGCATTGATAATGCGCACATTGTACAGTCTGCAATCTGCATCATGTACTGTACTCTGTACCACATTCCGTCACGGTTGGAGTCAGAATAACGAAAAAAACTTGTGTTATCAGTGTTTCACATGGAGTGAATTCGCAACGGCAGTATCAACATGCAGGACTTTTTCACTCTGTACACTGAGTGTACAGTCACTCTGTACTGAGTCTGTACTCTGTATCAGCAAAATTAGTCTGTGATATCACAAGTCCAAACGTGAAATGTCAGACGAACACACTCTTCGCATGCACCGCACTGGACTATTAAATTTTATTGCTGATACGACCGGTGTTTATACTTATATTTCGCTAATTTCGGAATATACCTATCCGGCATCTAATTCTACAGTAGTTGATTCAAAGCAACTGTTTAGAAAATGCAGTATTTCTGTGGTTCTGTATTGACGGTGTGACCAATTATTATCTTATACCAGTGCGCAGTGACTGCGCACTTCTTTGCTGACTTGTGAGAAGAGCAGCTATTTTGAATTGTTAGAATTTTGCAGATCGGCTAATGGCATTAAAAAGGATTAAATGGATCCTACTGGCAAATATAATCAACACGTTAATTTTATCGACTGCACAGTGTTGCCCAAAACAAGCAGGACAATTGCACTTGGCTGTGAACTGAATGGTCATTAACTTTGTTCTAGTAATTAACAAAACCCTTTACCCGCAAGCAGTACTGATTTTCGTACTTTAAGATTGAAGATCACAAGTAGACCATATTACCTGAGACTTCATAGGTATTTCCAGATTTACTGAATGTAATGATTATTACCGTCGAATAATTACGGTGCAGCTATTAATGTTTTTTCCAATACGTCATCACTCACAATATAAAATTAATGATATTAGGTACTACATACTAGTGACTGCATCCTGAACAACTTGAGAAACATACGCAATTTACGGCATTCGTCTAATTAAACAAAAAATTAATAATAATTTTATGGTCACTATTTTCCCGGTTAAAAAAGTACATATTTGTACTAGGACAAAAAATGCCTGGAAAGAATAAAATGGCGGTTAGCGGACAAATTTGTGTCTTACAGGATAAAAACGTAACGATTTAAGGGGTATTGTGAATCGCACGTATCACGTGCCACCAAACGTACGAAAAAAAGTGCTGAAAAAACTATCATTGACACAAAAACTTTTAATAGGGCTGACATCATTCATACCAGAATCACCAGTCTGAAGGGATCCAGTAGTGGAATTAACAGTAAAAGTATCGCGCAAGTCGACTTTTTATTTTCTTGCATATTTCTTGCACGTCGGAAGTTGTCCTTGGACGTAAGCAGCAAATGCAAAGCAGTATATAGCGTAAACTGCCGTAAAGTGACAAGATATCACAAAGAAAATTAAACATTAATTTTTTACCTTGCCTATGTTTCTTTGTAGATTTATGATTTTTCATTATGCAGTCGTAGTCTGTGAAGTGCAAGTATTGTTCAAATAAACAGCAGCACAAACTTCGCAAACAATGAGGGCGATGTATGTTTTAGAACTCCCGGATTTCCGGTCTTTTTTAGACTGCTTGATTCCGACTGCTATGACATACAATGGCGTACTGATGACGCTTTTCCGATATTTATATTTTAAAATAAGCATTAACACAGCGATCGCGAGTGAACAGCAGTCGACTATATTTTCAAGATATTGGGTCGCTTACGGACGCGAAACATTAGTTGACAATTCATATACATACCAACAATTTTAAACGAATTTTAATCCTAATCTCCCCTTAACTACTTAATTCAAAATGTAGAACAATATGTACGAACAGGACTAATATGGCTTCGACTCACACACACACATACACGAAGGAAATTTGTGAAGTACGTTTTAATAATTGCCTTCCAATAAATGCTTGGTAAAATCAACAAATTTCTGCACATATGTACAAAAAACACAGCCAATTAATTATAAGAAGGAGCTCGGTAAGTAATGCAAAACATGCACCATTGCCGCACCCAATACTGCAAAAAGTGATTGCAAAACTGAAAATGATGCCTTTTGTACAAGTGTCGTTGTAATAGCGAAATTACTTCCACTGTAAATTTTCACGAATTCTGCGATTATAGAATCATGGAAAACATTTATCTTTTTGATTATGTACAGGCAAATTTCATCATGTACCACTTGACGGCAGTCAAGGTCACCGTTCCATTGCAGCAGTATGCACAATACAGAAATAAATGTTTTTGGAGCGGATTCCACCAGGAATGATGCGCTCATAGTCCCATGAGCTGACTGGATCGGATATTTTTGGCTTAGTGAGGTCGGATGTGTTCATGAAAACGTAGATGTGAATGAGGCTAAAGGTAGCGAGCGGATACAGCCAGCGAATGATTGCGGTGTAATATGGGACTGGCACCACCTTTTGAATAACTAGGAGTCCATCCGGATGTTGGCGTGGATGATCTGGATGATCGCCGTATTCTTAAATGCCCAAGAATGCACTCCCAAGTGCGTTTCACTTGCTTGCGAAATTTAGCGCAAACTAGGTACTGCAATGAGACAATCAAAATACGCACATGTCGCATATGGAGGACAAACGATAGATAATGTAAAGTATTGTTTTTTAATGTATGCAAAAGCAAACCAAAGCAACTCTGCTGCTGGAGTGAGATGAGCTAGATTCTAGAACATAAACAAGGATAATACTGCATGTCGCAGCATGCATTGTGCAGCAATATTACGTATTATTAAATACTTATACGGTATAACAGTAAATATAACAGATTTTAACACTAAACTTCTATATAAAATTTGGTAACTGCATTATTTACAATACTGTGACTTAATAGTGTCGGTTTTTATTTCTCATTATTATATTGCCGATTTTGTTAGGTTCGAAACATTCAGAGAAATATCTAGGCTACCGTAAGTACTATGTACTTCTTATTCCCGATTATCAACATTTTTGCTCACGACATGCAGAGTTAGAGACGTTAAGTGAGTACTCACGAGAAAAAAGGTGATGGCGTGACTTGTTAATGTCAGAGTATTGTTAACGGCAAGTTGAATATTGTATTCATTGGATTTGATGTAATCTGGACCGAATACCAGTTGAGCAATGGGATCAGCGGAAAAGGGAGAATGGAGATGACATACTATTTGAAACAATAAATTACGATAGTATTACCAGCGTAGTAAGCCGACATTACCGATTTATAACGGCTATTAGCGCGCCGTACCTACCTATATGGACAACGACTGTGACCACTAACATTCTCGTTACGTCGTCACGTTTCTTCCGGTGCTGGAGCTCCGTTCGGAGTAAAGTGTTACGCTGAGATTTGGAACGACGTAACACGCGAATTAGGATAATGTTGACCGTGGCTGCAATAGAATGACACCTGATAATTAAGGATACATTCTTGTGATCATTACGAAAGCCGGACTGGCCTGGCCTTGATTTGTACGATACCAGTATTTTCGACCTCTTATCCGGGCAATTGTATTAGAAACATCAGCAATTTTAATTATATTGTAATTTTTTACTACTGACATTAATATTGCAGACTTAGTCGTTTTAATAATAATAAATTGATAGATGTTCTGGCAAAAAGCAAGCGCGTTTTTTTAGCATTCTTCATTTGGTTCCTAAGTATTGCCGCGCCATTATGCAGTACAAATGCTGCGGTGAAACCTTTTATATAAGCAGGTGCGCATATCGGCGCCCTATCATTTTGGCCACCGTTCATTTTGGCCACCGTTCATTTTGGCCACCATTCATTTTGGCCACCATTCATTTCGCCCACCACTGATTTTGTTACCGCTTTCGATTTTTAGCTAATACTCGTACATGCACTCGCTACTCACTTTGTAAGACTATGATCAAACAATTTTTTTTGAAAACGAAACATTAAAAAAGCAAAAATAAGAACCTAAGAAACCTAAGAAGTGAACCTAAGAATACAAACACAAAAAACAAATATTTCTTGACTCACAGACTCAATTTGTCAGTACGAGTACATATACTTAAAACCTAAGAAAACCTAAGAATACATATAAATACGAGTACATATACTATAGGTTGTACATATACATGTACAACCTAAGAAAAAAAAACCTACGAATACCGTAAGAATAACCTAAGAAAATCGAACGTGGTAACCAAATCATTGGTGGCCGAAATGAATGGTGGCCAAAATGAACGGTGGCCAAAATGAATGGTGGCCAAAATGAATGGACACGCGCATATCAAAGCCCATTTTGCTTAAAAATATCATTTCTTAAAGGATTTTGCTTAACATTATTATTTTTGTGTGCCGAAATTATTTGAGGGGAGTTCTATAAATCATAAAAAGTAAAGGGCGACCGCTACTGTTTATGACATTGAAAGCTGTAATTAGGTATATGTCATAACATGTGATGCAACAAATCAAACTTCCAGCGTAGTGTGTGTCACAGTTGTGCAACCTTATACGTTTCGTCGCACGCACCATCATTTTAATCCGATCAAACTCCCTTTCATGCTCCACCAAACACTGTGTCTTTATCAAAAGGAACCCTTATTGTTTTTAAAGGAATTTTTTCACCAAGGATAGCAGTTTAATTTGGACCAGTTTCAAACCACCAATGAGAGCATCCAGTTACAACTATTTTGTTTTTGGTACTGAGCTTGTATCCGATTCCGATACTTATTAAAGGTTTTACTCCTCCGTTACAACTCTTTTACGCTTAACGCGTTCATAGTTTACCCTAGAGTACCTTTAATATTCGGTATCTGTCTGTATGTTTTCTCCAGAGCAACATGTGTATATAAATATCTATATGTTGAATACATATATTATAGTTATATGAATAATTATCTGTGCCAGGATTTCGGCCCCTCTCATTCGGCGCCGGTGATCTCAGCTTCTGCTCATCCAATTTTCCTACTTCAAAATGCGTTAGAAACCTCTCGATCGTGCGGGTGTTCTGAGACCAGTTATTGATTGCTGCCTGCAGAACCTCATGACCAGTGGTCACTTCGAAGCTTGTTACCATGGATGCCATAAGGCTGACAAGGGCGGGTGCTCGCTCTAGGGAAACAGCTTATTTCTAACAATGTTGCAACATACTGCATGGTTTGACGGCAACAAAATTGTAAAAATAGTCGCAAGCCAATATTCATCCGTGCTCAGCTTGTATATAGATATATATGTTGTAATGCTGAATGGTACTTATCGTTAGTAGAGTACGGACTGCAGAGACAAAAGAATTGATAACGCGAATTTGCAAACCAAAAATTTGGTTTGCTTATATTATAATAAATCATTACAATATTACAGGTCTGGTATTATTATCGCGGACTGTAATCGAGAGTAATAATCGTAATTATGATAATAATTTTAAATAATTTAATAATTTTAACACGGTATACTTACTTAAGGTAATAATTTTATAATTTTAACACGGTATACTTACTTAAGGTCAGGAGTTCAATAAAATGTAATGTTGATAGCGCAAGGAGAAATCCCCTAATCACGCGTTCATAAAATGCGGTTTTTTCCAGAGTGTATCTCACGGGACTCGGTGTTGTGTTTATTCCATAAATATCCGACTGACCAGTTGCATTGTTTGCATGATCCATTTCGCTGCCGTATTCTTCCTGTATTGTCGATGGTGAATGTTGCGGACTTAACGTGACCGTAGACAACATCAAATAGTAACCTAAAGAGATGATTAGTCAGGCATGAAGTGTAATTACGGTTTATGCAACAAGCAAATCCACCGTCCAAGCTTACTGTCGTTGAATTCAGTGACGGCACCGGCGTAATATACTTCCACATTGGCTCTACTTTGTATTAAACTCATGGGAATCACGCTGGGATCATTATTAACCCGACCGATGGAGCCAAATCTCAGCTCACTACCCATATCGCACGTTTCCTTAATTGTGAAGAAAAAGAACCGAATGCCGTTGACAACGAAGGAGAAGCCGACGATGAGCAACACCAGTGATTTGGCGACTGTGCGGGATTTACGCACATCAATTCTGAGTGCGTCTATTCTGACCGATACAGCGCGATGGACGGCCATCGCCATTGTTATAAATAAATTCGCCATTTGTCCCGCGTTGGCCAGTGGCAAATACAAAAATCCCTGTGGAATGCAAAAGGGGCTTGTTTCGAGAAATTCAGTTCCGGTAACTCATGCGCTGTGTTATACATGCACCAGCAAAGCTGCAAACCTCATAAACGCGTCCAACAAATTCCTGCTCCGGTCCCGATATACAATCCCCACAACGTATGAAACCCATTCCCAAGAGCATAATGCAGATTAGCAAATCCACTCCAGCCAGCGCCTTTATGTATACTGCAAATAAAAACAGATGATAAATATCATATCTTCGAATTCACTGTTAGTACAATGTTACCTTTTTTATCAAGTTAGCTGACAGTATCAAATGCCATTCTTTAGCTCATCAACGTAAGTTAATTATTCCGACGATTATTCGCTTACGTAATGAATTTCTTATTTATTATATTTACTGCTACTGACTAATTTAAAAGCTTGCATTCGGAATCACAGTCGTTTATCGCGTATGCATGCTCTTATTTTGAATAGCTGACTGGCAGCAGTTAACGTATTGTTCGGTAACACTATAATATGTTACACCGCCGGCAGAAAACCAAGAAGAACGAAGTCTCGGATATGGTCCTGCCACTTCTCGAATAGTCGCGAATCCCGCGATGGTACAAAACTATATCTCAGATTCCTGTCAGCCAAGCGAATAAAAGAAGCGCTTAAAATTAAAACCGAGCAAACATAAATGAAAGCGTTTAGTAATGATATTTTGTGAGTTGTTTTAATCACGCAACAATGAAAAAGGTGATAATAATCATCATTATTCAAAAACTTATTATACGAGTACTATTAGCCCCGGTGCTTACAAACCATAAGCAACTGGTATCTGCATGCATGCTGGGTGTATAAATGCTATGAATATTTATATACAATGATAAACAACAATGCACCGCTTAACAACAGCAAATTTCGACTAATCACAATAAAATATTCTAATTTAAAAACGATATGTTTATGTCAAAAAGGCAAGATCGATCTTCCCTACCAAAAGCCGTCCCTTTGGCACCACGCCGTGATAGTACTATCAAGATGGATGTATTTCCCAGTACACCGACCACACAGATTATCCGAATGATATAGGTATAAAAAATAATTTCCATATATTTCTTTGTAGAGTCATCCATTTTCTTCGACCAGTAATGGTTAAAACCAACTCCAAATTTTCATTTCAAAACCGATGACAGGGAGCGCGAAGAAATTAGCGGGTTCCATTGGAGCCGGTATCTGCAGCGGCTTTGATACCAATCATACTCGTACCATGTGGCCAGCAGATCAATCTGAACTTGTACAGTTTCTTTCCGTGAATTAGTGTGAAGGGCACTCATGAAAGAGATAATTACATATGCTTGAGCTAAATTAAAACTCATTTATCCAAGATCATAACTTTTGTTGTATATATTCTACCGCCTAACTAAATCAAACGCTGAAATAATGATTTATAAGATGTTTTATCAGACAGATACGTATGTTCTTATATATATACAAATTTTACTTGTCACAATCGTTAACCAGGAAGACGAAGTGCACAGAGGGACGATGATAGGGTAGCATTTCAAGCAGATATTCGGATGTCAGGACGTTGAAACCGGTAGGTGGGACCATTTGTAAACGTCGGCAGTTTAGCCCACAATAACCCACATGATGACGACAACGATCGGTTCTTTGGCTTAAATCCGTCTATAATGCATGAAGGATGCAAGATCATGGCCATGATGGGATGGATCATTGGGCAGGTGGGTTGTGTGATACATAGACTACATAAACATACTTACTTTAAACTGGTTACATTGTAGCTGTACAATAGATGTATCGTAAAATATTGTAGTACAATCTTTCGACTGCTAACCGGAAACCAGGATCACTTCCCGAAAAGTACTTAATTAGCCCAAAATCAGCAAATGCTCAGATAAACTTGATTGCTCGTACCTATTTGCTCCAATACATATAAACGGATTTCCGGAAGTGTTTCTTTAATTGGTACACAGCAGATATGTTGTCATGATCTGCACAATTTTCAAAATACCAAAAATAAATTCCAATAGCCTTAAAAGTCTCCCTAGTGGAGTTTGGCTACTGTTGGTTCGATAATAATAATAATAATAACAAAAAGATATCATTTCTTAAAATCTTAAATCCTTAAATTTTATATATTGAAAGTGAAAAAAATACAAAAACCATGAAAATGCGACTTTTTAAAAAATTTAAGACACTTATGATTACCTTATATCTTTATAAAGGAATTCAACAAATCTCGAGATTGCATGCAAATATTTAAAATAATTTTATCAAACGTTAGGAATGTTGATTGTCTGGCCAACAGCTCACTTTTTAGTGTTTACAATTGTAAATACTGACTTGTGAATAGTGAGCTCTTGGCCTGCAGATGATTGCAATCATAAATGGGCAACATATGTCCATAAGTATGCATGTTGCAGAACAGTTCCTTTTTTAGAAAATGCCATGTTATTTTACTCCTGTGGCTGTAATTGCCTATTTTACAACTGAAAAGTATATGTTCTTAGGACTAGGCTTGTTCAACCAGGAGTTTATGTCTTTTAGTGTGCTGGTCTGGGAATGTAATACAAGATGAGCAGATTCACAAATCTACTTAAACTTTAATTCTCATTTTATATGGATGTAGCTAGTACTTGCAAATCACTGCAAAAATGGAATGATGCACCCAAATTAACACAAAGAACTCGATCGCATATATAGAAGTATACGTCGCAACGACAATATTTACTGGTTTTGATAATTATTACGTCAGCACTATCAATCAAAATAGTGTATTGTACCAGCGCTTGCAGTTTTTGTTAATCGGATGTACTGCGGCTTTTGAGTGCTTTTTGCCAATTAACGATTTGATCATAGTGATAGAACTAATTAAAAGAACAGCGATATGCGGAAATAGAGTGAAATCCGAAATTTTCCACATAGGGAGTTGTAATCTGCATCGAAACATTCAGGATACTGACCGTAAAGCACGTGCATGTACATACACAGGGTTCACGTTGCAGTATGATTAACAACCTTTTTTAAACCACACTGCGCTGAACCACCTTGTGATTTCGCACTGTGATCCTCTTTTAAAGAAAGTAAACGTGTAGGCGTAACCTTTTGGCTTCCAGAGCTACCGTCCTGACATGAGCTTGGTAAAGGCAGGAAAACATATACAATGTACGGGATGCGGCCATTACAGTGATTGCTGTGATTATTTGCCACCGTCAGCACCGACGTTTACGTTGTATTTTCGACAGACACATGACCATGGAAGCTGATATTACTGAATACCTTGAATGCGATGTTTGTCTCTCCTTTGTTTCCCAAATAAAAATAACAACAACAAAAATTCTGATATATTTTTTGGTAGTCATTAAGGAAGTAATAAGTGGTCACTATTTCTCCTGTTTTTTTTTATTTTAATGCAGCCGTACGGGTAGGGTTGCATTTTGCAGGCACATCTGCGTGATGAGTCCATGTGACGGCGAGATCGTAAACTGGTTAACACGAAAATTGACGGTTTAAAATTTAATCTGATTAGGAGTGACTTATACAGGGATCGGAACATGTATGGGTGTTATCGGATGACAATCAGACGATTCCGAAAGGTCGTCTCATTCATCAGGTTTAACAGTATACTGTAGTATATGTATCTGTAGAATGACGCAGTGTACGCAACAAAGACATGATGGCAATGCCAGTACGGGTATATTTTACGTAGCAGATGATCGTTTACAAAATCCGGTTCGGCTCTTTACAAGGAGGTCGTCCCTTAGCCAGCGGTCATCATTTCCATAAACTCTGTAAATTGTAAATTAACTGTATTATAAATCTGTAAGGTGTTGCTGTAACCTTTGTGCTTACCGTCGAAATCAACGGTGCCACTGCCATCTGTATCGATTTCGGCGATCATTTCATCCAGTTCCTCCTCGGTTATGTTATCATCCAGAGCGCGAAGAATTTCCCGAAGATCTGATACGTTAATGTAGCCGTTACCCTGTTTGTCGTATAGCCTAAATGCTTCTCTTAATTCCTGTTCCATTTTAGCTTTATCTCCTTCCACCACAAAGCGAGCCACCAACGCCAAGAACTCATCGAACTCAATCTGACCGGAACCTGTTGATAAAATAAATAATCATGAGTAAAACATTTTCGCTTTAAGCAGTAGTTATTTAGAATGCTGTGTCAACAGCTTATGCAGTCGTTAATTCTGTGATTTATCACTAACTTCATATTCTGTTTTCAGATATACATTGTATGTTTTCGTTTACATGAAGTCAGGAGCAACTTGCATATCTGTAGTATTAAATCACTGCCCTGTTTTATAATCATGGCTGGGTCACTCGTGCTTTTTGCAGTTTAGATGCGAAAACTAAATCAAGGACTAATATTTTAAATCATTTTACCTTATGACGCATTAAGTACACGTAAAATGACAAACACGGATGACAGCGGAAAACCAGAAAACGACATACTGAAATGAAAAAAGGAAAATATCTGAATAATTCTCAATTTCTCACCATCGGTATCAACTTCCGCAATCAGCTCGCGCAGATCTTTATCCTCAAATGCCTGACCCATAGTTCGGAGCAGGCTACCGATTTGGCGGGTGTGGATAAAGCCCTGCTTCTCCTTGTCGAACATGTTGAACGCCTTCTTGAAAGCTGAAAACGCCAGACATCCTGAACTTCTTTTGTAATAACTTACGAGTAAATTAAACTGCATGCAGTTGTTTAATTAATCAGAAGATATGCTTCAATGATGACACTACCGGAAGTATAGGACATTCTAGCATGCAGGTAACGGTGTGCGAATTAAGACTTGGCACCATACCCAACGGGAACAAAACATCGAATATCGAGATTATTTGAGGAGCATTGTTTACATTTTACAAAACATAAGATTTATTTTTAAGTGTAGTTGAGAAGCATTTAGATAATTGTTTCATGGCGAGAAGCTCTCGCATGTATCAGCAAGAAACCATGGAAAGCCTGTGGAATTGCAAGACCAATGACCAAATATGGACATGACGGAAAACTGACGTCAGATTTAGCTGTCTCAAAATTGTAAGCAATGACTCCTTTGCATTTAATTTCGACTTTTGCTGTTGGATGTTGCTTATTATCGCTAACAATTTTAAGAGAATTAAAAGGAACAATATTTAAGGTTCACAAAGAGAAAGGTCATAAATGAAGGCGTTTTTAACATAGGTGAATTATCACGCCAAACCCGCTAAATAAGTACTTTCACGCTCACCTGCGACTTGTTCTTCGGTAAGTTCCTCGACCATTGTGGCGGTTGGAAAGCTACGGAAACGGACAAAACTTGCACAAAGGCGCAGTCAAAAGAAGCCTATGGAATAGTGACTGTGCCGAGCTGGAAAATGTTTTAAGATTGTGGTATGGAGTTTACGCCAGCTCCGCAACGAAACTTTTTCCACGATGTTAGTTGAGCTCTTGTGCGTGCAAATGTAAGCATTCCAAAAATAGCCATGTATATTTCGTTCCTGCGACGGACGCGACATCGTGTTTTCGCGGTGTTTTCTGCACTATGGAAAAAGTTCCAGCCCAGCTGTGGGAGCGATGCGTATATGAACCGTTTCTCGCAGTAGACAGCTCATGCAAATATCCTATAAATACAAAGTAATACGCCGCAGCGGTAAAGCTCGAAATTCATGAATTCAATCAAGTGTTCCACACATTTTTCAGTACTCTACCAATGTACGGTAGGCCTAGCGAGGTATAAGTATAAAATTGACCATCGCTAGGCCAAATGCTGTACAATCCTCACAATGCACACTATGTGCTGTAACTTGTTGCAGTAACCTGCGTTGTTTTGTTTGTTTTGTCGTAAAAATGTCTTTAATGTTCGCAAGCCGAAATCAGCAATAAACCGAATCATACTTACCGTTAGGATTTCGAAAAATTGTGCCTCTATTGACCATTTTATGTGTGCTCGTATAACCGTACATGTTATTACTGTGCAGCTGCTGTTATTACATTACGCTCACAATCAAATATTAATTGCTGGTTGGCAATTTAAGTTGGCATTTGGCATACTTAGAGTCAGTACTTTCGATGTGGGGCTAATTGTTAGAAAAAAGATTGTTTTAAGTCCTTCATCATGCAGGTGTGACGTGTACAGTAACTAATGGACTTAAAAATGTAAGTGGTCACCAAAACGCACTCTACAGTGTAAAGAATAAATTAACATACTCATTCTAAATCGACGATAATTTCATTCTGTACTATATATGGATCGCCGTTTAGCGCTTTCACAAATAATCGATTCTGACCAAAGGTCAGAAGAAAATATTATGTGACAACACCTTTACACGAGCGCAATGGTGATAGCAAACTCCTATAAAGTATGGTTAATTTAGCCGGTAATTAAATAATTACGTAAGCCGGTATCTGTAAAGTAGATGTATCAAGAATATAGTATATATATAAGCAGGTATTATTTATGTGGAATGTGTGTCGAACTATAAGTTAAAATGTTTTATATTAAGCTAGTAGTATTATTTTCGGTATCACCTAGCGCGTGTTTTATTACCGTTTCATTTCATAAGCTTCGAATTGTTGCTTCCTTACGCTTATGACGCTGGACGATCCACAAATAACAAAATTGGATTACCGAAACAACAACAATCATATTACATAACTTAATGATGTAGTCCTTTATTAAATTAACTGTTGTTTGACTCGCTCTCCTACAATAACTCAACAAAACAGGCAGTGAGCTACGGTAGACCGATTTTTTTTTGCTGATACAACATAATATGATTGTGAAGGTTGTCCTGGCTACTGGGTCACAATGACCCAAACCGTCTTGAATTGTGTTCAAGCCACTCTGGCGTCGGGAATAACTTATTGACGTATAAAAACAAAACAACCATCGTGTACGTGTACGGACTGTGTCGCTGCGTCAATAACCAATCCGAATGCCTTAAAGCTTTAGAGGTTTCCGGTTGCGCATGAATACATATGCACCGTATATATATATGCCGTGTTGTAGCCATCGGTTTCTGGTCTAGATCGCTGCATCCAGAGTGATTATAATTAGCCTGCCTTTGCAATTCTAAAGAGAATTAGCAGTGCGGCCCTTCAGTGTAACCTAAACGTTCTCAGGCTTGGGTGCGACAGTTGGATAGGCTAACTAATCAAGTAATCCTGGCACTTTTTACCAGTCTGTTTCCGCCTCTTCACCAGGCGCACTAGCCGACTGCCCGCAGCAGTCGCCGCACAGCAGTACACACTTTCCGGTGTAGATTATGCTGAGTATATTCAGCACCCAGTATTTGCACGGCAAATGCGCCATATTTATCAGGCACACGCATATAGAACATACACTACTCTTGTATTCCGGGCATGCTCGAATTTCGAAGTGCACATTTGAGCGTTTTTTGCATTCTGTCGTATAAAGGAGTACACTACTTTACTTACACAGCCGATGTCTGTGCAGAATTCCTCACCCATGAATCGCTGTCGCTGAGCAAACTTACGGTCATAAACGATTAACGCCAGCCTACGGTTTTCGGTTCTCGCAGTACTTTGCTCTACATTATTTATCATCAGAGTTTCCGAGTTTTCTGAGACTCTTCATCCGGTTGCTTTTGTGCAAATATTCGTGCAAAACACGCTGTCAGATTTGTTAACCGCAGTGTTACTTATATCAAGGGCACTGGATAATTCTTAACCTTATAAAACATTGTTGCATGGATGACAAACCTGACATGGTCTATCGATATAATGTGACCTTGAAAGAGCAATAACTGAATGTGGTGAAAGTGGTCTTGCAAATCGATTTGACCTATTCTTGACCAGCCATAACACCGCATTTGCAGCAACTGTGTCATATATATATACGGTGTTATATCCGTATGATCTTTTATCACTTCGATTGACACCGCTTCCATGCCTCCTAAATCCTCAACAACCTCCGCCGCGGATGGCAAAAAATCTTCGGTGGATACGAAAAAACCAACAACGATTGTCTATGCAGAAGTAAGTTTAACCCAAAAAATGTATTCGATTCACATACCTGTGTTCGTACCTCTGATATGCCAAATGTTTTGAGCGCAGCAGAATGGTATTCTAATGATGCTGCATCGTTATAATACGAGGATATATCTTGTAGCTGAGTGACATAAGTGGGAGTGCAAAAAAGTATGGGCTCACGGAAGATCAAATTCACGGTACGTTGCGCTGTCTAATGACTACATGAAGGTGGTTGATGAGATAGACGTGTACCGCCTTAATCAGCAGTTTTCCTTCGTCTCCACAGAGTTTCATGAGGTGAGTCCCGGATGAGAGGTACCTAGACTAATTGAGTCACTCGCGCTTACAAGGTGCGTCGCGGTATGATTTCCTTTACAAATAGTGATTTTCCTTGTCACGTAGTCTTAGACTCTCAGCATCCCTAACCACACTGGCACCGTATATAAAACAGATTGGAGTCACTGGACTATTTTGATCAGTGTGTGAAAATCATAGTGCAGTTGGTTATAGAAACGTTGTTCATGGTTGCTTTTTCTCGTATATATACCGGTGACACAGAAATCCTATGTAGTTCTTTTAATCCTGAACCTTTAATCCTTCCAGTATCAGTGACCCGAAGTATTGTTAAAGTGATCTTTTCTGTAATATTAGGCTTTCACCTTATTCGACAAGGACGGTGACGGTAAGTCGTCTTTAGATCGCACATCTTGTACAAGTATTCATTGTATGTATTGCACATAAATAAATTTTATTATATATTTACTTAAGAAACTGCAGTGTTGGCACTGTGGTACAATGTACACCTGCAAACATGCCGATTAGAGCCAGCGCGCTAATAATAATCGCGAAAAACGCTTGGCTGACATTGTGAGTGATCCAATTGTTAAATCTGCTGGTGCCGCACCATAGGTTTCCCTCCAGATCCATAATCAGTAATAATTATATGACAGGAAAGTGGACTGCGTTTTAAATGTTGTACAATAAATTTTAGTAGTTCCAATTCAAAGTTTTCCCGTTATGAGTTAGTATTTTTTTTAGCCGACCGTTTAGAATTGAATTCAAATTTCAAACCAATACAGTTGTATTTATTAAAATAAAATGCTAAATTTTTCTGTCTGACTTACACTTTTACGATAAATGGCAGCATATTGCGAATGCGATGGTAATAGCTACGGGTAGTAATAATTGCAGTTGCATAAAAAGTTATGTCGTGATTGCCTCCCCGGTGTAAATGTTATAACACTGTCTCACAGTTTCAATAATTTTACAATTCAAGTGGCGCACTACTGTCGACGCTTTCATAATTGCTTATTTCCAACAGGGATGATAACCAGTGCCGAACTGGGAATTGTAATTCGTGCCCTTGGCCAGCGTCCGACTGAATCACAGTTGAGAGAGATGGTGCGGGAGGTTGATGATAATGGAAACGGCACAATCGAATTTAACGAGTTTTTACGGATGATGTCCCGCAAGATGAAGGAAACAGATCCTGATCAGGAGTTGCGAGAAGTGCGTCAAACATGGCTACACGTACCTGCTGTAACGCAGTACATTAAATTTTGTGCTCGTACATATGACACATAGGCTGTGACAAAGCGCATCACAAACAAGAGTTTCATTATTTAACTCGATAAATTAGTTTCTTTGATAGGTAATTGATTCGTGGATAAAGCTGCAGGGATATAACATTTTTTGACTGTGTAACATATATATATAGCTGGAAACTCTCTTATTACAGTTATTTTTATGTGAACTGGAATCGTGTGTTGTAGGCCTTCCGAGTATTCGATAGAAATAACGATGGCTTTATTAGCGTCGGCGAACTAAGGCATGTTATGATAAACCTCGGGGAAAAATTATCCGACGATGAGTACGAGGAAATGATCCGAGAAGCCGATTTAGATAAGGATGGGCTTGTCAATTTCCAGGGTAAGGTCAACACCTCTTATGTATTTCATTTTCTCCGTTTCTGGTTGACGTGTGTCACTTTGTGCCCCATTACTTACTATGCACTGTGTGCAGTAGTGTAACTAGCTAATTGTTATGGGAATAACAGTACGTACTTTACTAGAGCATACCGTTAGGTTAACAAGGATCGAAAACTAATTATTCAAAACAATTATACTGCAGAAATTGAGTAACTTTTCGCTGAATAAAAACTAAACATACTGTATTTATGCAGTCATAAATAAGCTCGATAAATAAATGTGCAGCATAAAGAATATATAAAGATAGCGCATAACAGCCATCTGGTATTTCTTTAGAGTTTGTGGCTATTTTGACCTCGAAATAACACACTGGCGGCTCTTCCACCTTCTTCGTCGGCAGCAGGAATTTCGAGATTTGCGGATGTCACATCACGATACCGGTGTATAAACAAGGCGTCCGGCAAAATAAAAAGTTAGCAGCATTATTCTCTGTTTTTTAAATACTCATCTTTTGGCTTTATTATAAGCGCAATACTTGATCATGACAAAATCTTTTTTCCGGAAATCATGAGCCAATGTTCCTTGCCCTTATCGTCATTGTATTCAAAATGCGGTAAATTTTCTAATTTGCACAAATGCACACTTAGACTGACATGTGAAGTGATAAAATGAATAAACATCAGAATAATCCGTGGAAAACTTGTACCATGTCAAAATTCTTCCGGTGTACTGCATTACATGTATATTATCTTGACGCAATCCCAACAAACGTTCATTCGAATAACCAGTGCCATGAAACAAAATGAAGAGTTGCTTTTAAATCCTCATTGTAAACGTAAACTGATCCTAGCAAATAGTAGACGATTGTTTGCGATAGTTTTGGCGTGATGAACAGCCGTATCAAACGATCGTGGTGATTTTTCAACAGAACTAGAGCTCGTTACCTACTTCGTCGATAAAATGTGCTAACTGTTAAAATGTCGACTTTCTTGTTTGTAATCAGGGATGGTAAATAGAGATGTGAGAACTGAGCTACTAACTTTTCGAGCGTGCCCGAACAAACGACTACAATTTCAAGAATTTCACGCTCTGTAAAAGCCAAGTATTTGTTACATTATAAACCGTAACAGTCGGCAGATTTAGCAACACTACTGTACATATTTTCCAATTAATGTAATTGCAAAACAAGAAAGTTCCTTTCTAACGGCGAGCTGTTTCTTTCCAGCTAACAAACTTTGTCTATTCATGTACATATGTAATAAATATCCTTCGTTTGTCGGTCTTGCGTCAAAACATCATACATCAAAACCAACCAACATCAGCGAATATGCAAATCCGTATAAACACAGTAAGTATTGACTGCAAAGCAGTGTGAAAATCGTCAGACCCACTTCACGCAAACTATTGTTAATTTAAAATACACTTAATTAATAAGAGTTCTAAATTATAAAAGGCAAGGCAGACTCACAAGGCCCCCACAATTTTGATTAGTCTGATAGTCAGAATTGTAGTAATTACCGACACCACGCCCTTGCATCTGCTACGAAATTCTCCATCACATGCAGCATTAAACACAAGGGTTGTGTTGACAAATATTCATTAGCTACTGCTGATTAAAACAGGCGGGATTTAGAACCGTTACCTTGTCTTCTAATTGCATGCTAGTGGTAAGCATGCGCTTCACACATCTGCTAGTCAACACATATAAATTATCATGATAATGCGCAAGACTGTCAGTACGGTAAGCTAATTAGCTGTTACAGCTACGATTTAAATTTAATGTTTTTTGCAACTTTAATTTTGTGATCATTGGTTAGTCATCCTCCATTCAGCAGAGCACTGTAGTGTTTGCCCGTCTGCACACGAGTTCTGGATTCAAAAAAATGGTAAGTGGCATTTCCTTAACTTGTACGGAGAATTACGTATTACCTATTTTATTATCGCACAAGGCAGAAAAATACCGCGCCGTTTTAGTTGCATCTTTGCACATTAAGCATGCCGAAATTCAACAGATTGCGACGATTTTGCTTCTACTGGAGCTTAAAATTTGTTTGCTTGTATACCGAAAAATTGCTAACCAAAATCCGTTGCGGAATGCGCTTACCAAAAGGTCGAAAAAAATATAATCTTCGCAATGAGAACTATTGCCACGTACCATTTAACTTTCAATATTGTCAGTTCTTACACTTTTGTATATTAATCGATTCACTTGTGTGATAAACTGTAAGTTTTGTTGATAATAAGTTGATTTAAGGGCTAGAACGTTTTGTTTAATGGAAAAAATGTTGTCTTGAATGCTTCCTTGAAGTCTTGGATTACACACTACTTTGATAACATGAATGCAGTACGCCTAAAATTCAACCAAGAAACGTTTGATGATGCAAAGGTCACCGCGGTTGATAGGTTTACTCACCATTTGAAATTTAAAAAATATTGTTTTAAGAAATTCGTAGACGACTTTTGGTTATAGTACTTGCGCCTGGGACTTCTGTTTGCCATTTTTTCCATTGCCGCTTGCGCTCCCCCAGAAAGTACGGTCAAGTTAAGCGTGCCAGATGAAAGCAAAAAAGACACTGGAAACGTAAGAAATTTATGCCTGATGTGGTTTAGGACTTTTATAACAATAGTTGCAAATTAATGTGGTTAAAGACATAAAGATAAGTTTACAGAAAGAAAGCTGATAACCAAGTTAAACACATAAAAATAACACTCTAAACAGCATAAACTTTAGGACACTTCTGCGCCCAAAAAAATTAGGATATCTATGTAGCTAATGCTATGCGCTCCAAAATTTTGAAACGTTATGCTTGTAACATTTTGTTTATAATTCCGGCCGCAGACATTCAGTGCGGTATTGTTTTCAAATTTTAAGTAATTTTTCGTAGATTTCGTAAATTATAATTATTTGTTGTACCGGGGTTTGCATAGTTATTTATTTTTTCTGCACGCTTGGTATTTGTACATATGTGATTTTTGCGAGTAAAAGTTTATCTGCGTATCTATATGACATATTATGCAATCGTCTTGAATTAATAACTTGAATATCGCAAGGTTTTCACCAGTCTGTGGCAGTAGATGACCTATAAAGTGTCATCTTAATTCGCAATTAATTTATTAGGAAAAGCCTGTGACCTTTCACGCAGCCACTGCCAATGAACAAATCGGGATCGATGCGCCTTATATCTTTATCCATCCGAACAACCAGACACGTCCAGGAAACTTTACTTTTGGGAAAGATCTGATGACGTCAATTCTACAAGCTTTGCTACCGGTTAATTCTACTGCCATTCCTTCGTTAGAGAACAGGGCCAAATCATCCCAAGAACTGGCGCCCGATATGTTGTTAAACAACTTACTTACAGCAATGATTCCGGTTCTTGCGGCTGCCAGTAAGAACGATATCGAAATCGCATCCCATCAAGTGCAAAAGACATTAACGGATTTTTCGAAGTCAAACAAGGCAGGAAACCCGTAGTTGTAAAGTTTACTATTGGATTTTTGCTTTTGAAAGCTGGTTTTTTGTAGTACTATAATTATGCGTAATTAAACTTTACGCGCCGTGCAGTTGTTTGTTCGCGATTAGTTTCTCATTTGGCAAATGATTAGCTCACCGGTCAGTTTCCAACTTTAATAGCTTTTTACATGTATGAATAAACAGAGAAACAACCTCATTCCAATCATTCCAATCTTGTCTTTTTCGTTTCTCACTTTTATCTTGATGAGCTTGTTATTGTAACAAAAAACGTTAATGAAAAATAGCAACAAAAATAGTTACACAATTATGGCACTTAATTAAGGTCAACTGGAGTATATCAATGGTGTCTTCAGCAACTGTTGCTTATGCGAGGTTTTGCTTAATCAGGTAACGTACTTACTGGTTAGGAGCTAAACTGCTAAAGTCATGTAATACTGCGTTTTCTGTTGAACGTACTACCTCCGCCGTCCACTTAAGCCGGCACCGGAGGAGGATGGTATATTGGCAAAGCCGGCACCATCAACGTTCTTCATGGAGTTGGCCACGTCGGGATTGTTGGAAATGAAGTCAGGGATGCCGGGCACACCGAACATTCCGCCTCCGCCGTTCTTTTTCGGGGGTGACATTTGACAGTCACACGCTGTTGGTATGCGGAACATTTCATACGATGGTCCGGTGAATTTGTTGCACGGATCAAACACCAGTAGTCTCACGTAGCTGTAGCGCTGTTTACAGTTGGTCTCATAACATCCGGGCACGTGTCGACACGGTGTATTGGGTCGGCTAAAATCAAGCTGGGTGTGAAACAGCGCGCAGTCATTGATCATAAAGCGGCGGCAGCAACAGTGGCATAAATAATTCAACTTTAATGACTATCATGGAGTTCTCGTTCGTAATGCATGAACAGCCGAAAGAGATCCTAGTCCTACTTTACTGCACAAAAGTCTTAGATGCGAAGCTCCAGCTACCGAATGACAAATTGCAAAAAATTTATATTATAGTCGCTCCGCGTGTTATACACTGATGTGAAAATTCTATCACTTCTGTTGAGCTTCAAAAAGGCACTCACGAGTCACGGTAACGGATTTCGAAAATATTTCGGACGAAATAATATAACTTAAGCTAACTACAGATAAGGTTGCTTTTACGAAGTTCCAGTACTCTCATAATTAGTACTGTGATGACGTAAGCCCGTATTAAGTACATAGGTGACCGTCATAGTTCTGAGAAATTTAAGGTTACTTACAGGCATCGTTCAACGCGGACCGTTTGGGTCACATCCGGTAGCTGGAGCACAGCTCGCCACTGTAAACAAGTTTTTATGATTCATTTATGCAAATTTAGAATTATCAACACCTGCTTAAAAACTTTTCTTTCTGTTCTTGCATTTGTCTGAAGACACAGTGCGCTAACCACGTCTTTCAAAAAACTGTAAATGCTATGCTTAGTCATGTACAAATTACCAGGGCAAAATAACAACTACTTAAAAATTTACAGCAATAGAACTGTACCGCTTCTAATCAGACGATAGCGGTATTGGGTATTACGCATGCACTCAGTCACTACTTGAACACAATTAAAATTTCATGAGTAATTTTCAGTCGCTCGCATGCATATAGCCATATACGGCATACCTGATCTTTGATAGTCTTAGCATATCCGGGTCGGACCAGTTCAATGTCAGATTCGCATATAGAGTCCTTGTCTTCCCCAATAGGTCCATCATAAACATCCCACACATCCACTTCCGTCACAGAAAGACCTTTGAATGTCGAACCGTAGTTTTCCGATATGTAATTCGCGCTGTCCCTGTATTGAACACTGCTCTTTCAAATTTACTTATAATGATAAGTACATGCATGCACACTTATAGATATTTCTACTGAGAGTTCGGTACTTCAGTACTGGCAGTGCTTTATTCAATATAAATATATATTTTAATAACGTAGTGATATTATAGCTGTAATGTCAATTTCCAGCCAGTACGAGGTACTGTTCTACAATAATATCGATCGTATTTTTCAGTGCAAATTGTTCCGGCATACGTACGCTGGGTAATTATCGTTGTGGTGACACATAAAAGGGCTTAATTTTGATCGCTTGCACATTGGTCCAGTGTTGCGGTCGTAATTGCATTCCAGCTCGGTGCGTCCAGCAATCTGCGGCTTATTTTCCGATCCAGCTGCTGATTGCGCGTAGGCGTAATTGTCGTCCTTAGTTGATTGCGGGTATAATCCTGCGTTGTATCCAGCGGAACCGCCCATTCCACCGCCGGGAACTGGACCATACATTCCAGGATAACCGAATCCACCGAATCCTTGACTCGTAACGAATAATACATAACACGAAAGGAATGCGTAGACAGATGAGAACTGAAAAGTATAATCGGGTATTGCAATTAAAATAGCTAATTACGCTTTGTCCAAGAAATTATATTGGAGGACAACTTCTACAGAAGAACTATTACTCAAAGGCAGTCGCCGTTGACTGGAGTTGGGCACCAAACCAAAGATGCTCCAGTATCTTTGCGCCAAAGATTACAAGTTACAACTGTTCCAAGTGGTTATGAAAATGAAACTCAAATTTAGTATCAATTTTATCGCAAGGCTGAAATTTGTAATCAAAATATTATTCTAACAACGCAGTACCACAGTGATTCGATGCGCTTACCATATAACGAATTCCGCATATGTCCATAGTGTGAAATTACAGCGGTTGTATTCTGGAAAAAATACACTACTGTTTAGGCTCACATGTAACCAGATGTGACGTCTTCCACCGATTTTCCCATAAAACGCTAATTTACTGCGCTAATTTTTCGCCGTTTGTAAAACTTTAGTAAGCCTTACGAATCCTTTAGTTAAAGATGCTGCATGTATTGTACATTTAACTGAAAAGTGCCTGGGGGTCACGCAGTTATCGTAGTGTCCAATACGACGTATTTGATGCAGATCTATCATGCGCTTTATGAGAGGTGCCCACAAAAAGTGATATTAGCCGTCCCACCCCTACCAGACATCTCACCTTTGATAATTCAACTTGTAAAGTTTTCAAGTTCTGAAATAATACGAACAAAAATGCTAAGACTGTCTTGGCAGAGAGAGTGAAAGTGTAATGTCCGGACTTAACCCCGCACTGCAAAAAAATAACCTCTAAAATATTAAAGTTACAAGAAGCAACCCCGGAAGCGCCATTCTGCAGGTCAAACCGCTTCTTTTGAGCAACAACAGCAGTTTCAATTATAGAAACACGTCTGGGTAATAAGTAAAAGGCAACACACGAGCAGTTGTTACTTAAAAAGTCATTATCACCTTTCCAAACGAAATAGTTTCCGCCGCGATCAGCAAAGGTAAATTAATAAAGAGCAAAAGTCACCGCAGTGTAATTAACAGCCCGCAAATCTTTGACTTTAATAGTAATAAGTCGGTGCTGCCGACAATAGACGTATAACAGAATACAGTTTTCAATGCAGAGCTTCGAAGACAATATTCAGGAGCCCATTAACCATGCTATCGAGCATACGTATGAACACAACATCGGGACTAAAGTAGTTGACAAGTATACAACAATTTTAATAAATAAGGTATTATGCCACAAACCGAATGTTTCCACATGTAAGCGTGTTTGCAAATATCGGCGTCGAAGACTGTAAATTCAGAAGAAAAAAATTAATTAATACCGACGTTATCTTAAGATGAAATGAGGCAATGAGATGCAATGCATATGAGGTGTTAAGCCAACGCTTAATATTATAATTATTTATTGTTAAAAACAGTATTTGACGAAGGTGTATCGCACTGGGAATATGGAACAGAAAATGGTACTGCACAAAATCGTTTCACATAAGTAATTTGACTTGCCTTATTAACATACTGGAAAATTGTTGTATTCGAATACTAAATGGAGAACTTATCTGCCGTTTTAAATCAATGGAAAACCAAGTACAAAAATGAATACTTCAAGAAGAAAAAATTATTGCGCCTGGACTATAAAACGAAAGTTGCAAACACGCAAGTTCACAAAGTTACAGTTGCGGTGTTTACATCTGCGAGCATCGGAACTCAACACACAATAATGTTGCAAAACGCTAAGGCTTCACTGTTCTGCACACCCGGAAAGCAGTTTGTTTTCTTAGGAAAAACTGTTGGTTTAGGTTTTGAACTGGACATCTTAATAATTTCATTAATAGAGGCGTGAAAGTTGTTTTCACGCTGATCGGATTTATTCGAGCGCTAGCATTTCAATCAACAGAGTCATCGTTCAGACTCAATGACCTTAACCCAAACAGTTTTCTTGAGTAATACATGCTCACAATATAGAGATGCATTGTGCTAGCGTATAATATGACAAAGATTATTACCATGAAGTATACACAATGATCATACGAATACTGCCGAAGGCTTCATACGTTCTCAACCGGACGAACACTAGCAGGTGACCGAAGAAGCGAGAATCTACGCTTCCTCTTGCATCTTAAAGATCTTGTATATTTTTTTACTCGATCTCCGTAGTGTACAGTACGTTGAAGAAGTTTAATTCCGCGAGCTAGCTGTACGATTACATTAGTGCGGGACAATGCGAGGGTCAACCAACCATCTACCCGATTTACTTCTTTCCGCTGATGCTTAAATTGTTTTCGTAATAAACACTTATTTAGCTTTTATCAAAGCAATTACGCTTGAGTGCTGCCGCCCCCGTATTTACTGTTATTGAGGCGCAGCCCCATTCTTATCAACACTGCTGGAGACCGGTATAAGACCCATTTTTCCCGACAACATTGTCTGGTCTGCGCCATAATGTGGAAAATAAAGGTACTTGTTACTGTAATGTGCTAAGTTCAAGCTCACAGATACAGTACATGCCTGATGAGTCAATGTGCTGAAAGTGATAACCCGTTAAATGATTTGTAACATATTTAGCAGTAACTTTTAATTTATAGTTGATATGATCCCGTTTTTTCCAATGCGTAATTTTGCGCTATTCGTTTACCTAAAAGTATGAGTAACATAAAATTTTCAAATTGTCTTACACTTAAGAGTTGCTCGATCAGTATCCAGTAATCATGGACGCTTCTTGTACCAGAGAACCATTGATCGTTTTTTTTCTTTCAGTGTTTTCCGATTTCTGTACTCTTTTACTGCTTAAATACTCGTAGTTACTGCGGTGAACTACCTACATTTCACAGTTCTCATAAAATGCGAATATTCGCAATAAATAACTGTTAATTTTTAGACTGTGGAAATAAAGTTGGGACTAGCTTTTTGTTTATCCCTTTTTGTCGTAACCAATTCTCTCGGGACGTTCCTCGGTCGGCAAAGAGTCCTCGCCAGGCAGAGAAGAGCCGCTCAGACCAAATGGTCACCACAAGTCTACTCACCACCGGCAGGCGCCGCCGCACAGAACTACGCCAGCTCACAATCTACCAATTCCGCTAGCGCTCGCAATTATCTGCCGACCAATGCTAATGCTCAACAAACGGCACAAGCTCCTTACATTCCACAAGTGCCGTTTAACCAACAACAATATCCTTCATATTCCCAATACCCTACAGCGACACAATCCCAGTATGCAGCAGCGTATCCCGCTAATCAAGCTGCGTATGCCCAATACGCTACGCCCAAGAATTCGGCATACAGCACAGCCGGTCAAACATCCGCTTACAATGCAGGGCAAGCGGCAACATATAACAATCCCTATGCGAATTACAATGCGGCAGCCATGAGCCAAAATCCAACGAATACATACCAAACTGTTCCACAGCAACAGTTGACCAACACAGGGTACGGGAATTCATACAATCTTCCTGCATCCGGTCAGCAAGCGAACTATTACCCTGCTGGAAACAACATGCAGAATATGAACGGCTACAACGCTGGGTACAACCAACAGGCAGCAGCGAACATGTTTAATGCTGCAAATATCAACGCGAATAAGTACAAAAATCCTAACGTGAACAGCGCATATCCATCGGTGCAAAGCAGTTTCGCTAAGAACCAGTACGCTCAACCGGGGTCTCCTGAATATGCACGACAGAATTTCGCCCTGTATCAGGATCCCCTGCGCACACCGATGCAATACAATTACAAGGACAATAACAACGCGAACGGGTACAATCAGTATAATAACCAACGCTACCAAAACAATGCGTACAACGGAGGCGGCGGATATGGGCAAGGTCGATCTGGTCAGTCACCGCCCATGGTAACGCCACCCCCACAACAGACAGCGCAGCAGTATGAATTGAGCGAGTTCTGCAAAAAACCCGATCGCGAACCGAAATGCCGAAAGAATGCGTTTGGAATGTGCGATTACCAGGATAATTATCCATCGTAAGTTGGAAGAAAATGTTACTGAGATTTGAGTTGCGTACGAGTTGTTTCACATCTTTATAGGGAAGTGGCTACCGAATTCTTCGCCTATTACAAGTCGCGAATCACGGCTATGACAACGGATTTCGACTATTCCAACAGCGACCAATATGATACAGGCTTCGCTACCCAACAAAATAAATTGATCGACTTTGTGCACGACATATTTTCGGATAATGAATACGGAAACCTGCCCGGTGTACCACCGGAAAAGAAAGGTCACTCTCAATTCGAAAGCTTGTAAATGCTATGAAAAATTAAGTTTTTTGTTGTAGGACTTTGTGTTGGTGTTTCTGACACTATTCAACCTGGTTGGGCTAGGACAGCCCATGGAAAATATTACGTTATAATGAATAGTAACAACGTCAAACAAACCATACGAGCTGAAGTCTGCAAGTAAGTTGTCGATGTTTTCGGAAGTTATGCAGGATTTTGATCATTTTAGATCACAGGCAGAGACTCTACATAACGAAATGATTTCACCAGAATAAATACATGATTTTACTAGAACTTTCCAGAAGACAATAACATTTACAACTTTCTCAGGAACGTTGGGAAGGGATGTCAGACTGTTCCTAAATGCTATAAAAGCGAATGCCGGCAACGTTATCGTTTTGATACTCTGTTGGTGTTTGATCCGTGTGATGCTAAACGAGCTCCAATGCTGGAACTGTTCAAAATTCCCGATGGATGCGAATGCTTTGTAATTGTGGAGGAACCTGATTTGATACCGGCGGATTTGCCAACACAGCCAACATCTTCTACATTCAAACACCAGAATTTGACTCCTACCGGAGATTTCAGCAGTTCCTCAAAGACCACCGAAGCAACTGCTGCAACGTCGGGGTTGGGCACAACCACGACAGTCGCACATCTACCTAATAATTCCACCACAGCGAGTTCAGTGCTCACTACAAAACAAACTTTAATTTTATCACCAAGGGTAAGCTGACCATGATAGTTTATGTTACCAGCTTCGTAACGAGCCCAGTAATGTGGGGTCATGGCCCATGAGACCATGACCCACCCCAAACGGAAATCTTATTGCATAGAAGCTGTGGACATGGTCCACCCCAAAAATTAATTTAAGATACAGCCTTCGATTGCGTTACCATGTTACCAATACGGTATAGGTATAATATTAAGTGCAGAATAGTAATTTGGGCACATTGGATTTACAAATGCTAACGTGTGGAGCTACAAGTTAGAAACTTACCAGCGCGCATTTTGTGGGTCTAAATTCAAAAAATTTCAATTATTTCTTTGTAGAAATATAAAATACCCCAATTTGCCTAAAAATTAATTTTATCTGCAAAGGGTGTGGCCCACCAAAACTTAAATGAACACCTAATACGTATGTGCTTAACAAAAATTAATTTAAGATAAAGCATTTGCATGCTATTATATGCTATTACAGTGCACTGCAGTGCAGGCTTTTCTGCGTAGAATTTTATTACGATTTATTAAAAAAACGCGTATTACGAAAATTACGAGCTTGCACCAGCGGCAGGGGACACTCCACTTGTGCAACAATTAAGTCGGGGTTCGAAAATTAGAGCGGACCATGGACAGTGAATCCCCGCTAAACCGTCATCAATTTGTTGTAACAGAAAAGCTTGGACTGCAGTCACTGCACTGTAACAGCTGCAGTAGATGGTAATAGCAAGGTGGATGGTTTATCCGTTATCCACCTTGGTAATAGCATAATGATACTTAACAACGGTAACAGTATGTAAATGCCATGCCCCATTTAGTTTTGCTTGGCCCCTCCCTTTGGAGTCGATATTATTTTAAACATACAAGGGTAGTCTACCTTTCTATAAAAAAACCGAAAATTTTCTGAATTCGGCCCGGAAAATGTGCTAGGGTATGGTTAGCAGTCGGACTGAGTATCCACGATAGACGTACAGTACTTATTTGCGAGCACAATTACAATAATAATTATTATTACTGTCCAATCCGATGAGCCGATGACTTAAGTATTCTAGTCTCCAGATGCATACTTAATTGATTTGCTACTATACTACGTAAATTCTTTGCAGTGATGGCATCTTCCTGATGAAAGCAGTATTATTCGTTATCATTTGCCTGGGATTTGGATGTCAAGCATCGCCAAGTTTTGTGCTGTATAGTGTTGTGCATATGTGCAGCAAGCACCTTGCATAATAATTACAATGTGTTCTCAATCTGGCATGTTGAGGGGAAAAGAAAAAATGGCGTTTGTAACGACAGTATCACGGTCTGCTTGTAATGATTTGATAATACCGGTATTTGTTCCACTCTTGCAGTTGATGTACTCGGAAATTATAAAAAAGTACGGTTGTGTATACGATTATGCAAGAAAAACTTGACAGTAATTACTGTACCCAGTAAAATCTGGTATTAAAATCCTCAGGAGACGTCAGTTTTTTATTCCAACTAAATTACCCATAACTCAGCACAGCAGCTTTTTCTCAGAATACTGCTTCTGAATCTCAAGGGATTTGTTGGATTAAATTCATATAAGGATAATACACTATCCCAAGGTTATGTTTCCATCGCACTATTATGCTAGGTCCATACTTCAGTTGTAATTCGGAATACAGTAGAAATTTTGCAACAATCGTAGAAAAAGTATGCACGACAGTCAGCTATGTTGTAGCATTTTATGTAGGCGCTGCACGGTTGAAACGGGAAAGCCTTATATAACATATGGCAGACGTAGTCTGTCTATATATTATACAAGATGGGGGCTCGCTTCGCTCGCCCCATCTTGCCGAACTGTAGAATTGAATTGAATTACTGCTCACCAGGGCTCGGTCGCCATCTCCCCCCTCAGAAAAAGCTCATTTTTTGTTTGAAGACACAATAGGTATGGGGAACACTTAAAAAAATTCTTTCATCGGCAATGGTCCAGTGGGCGTGGTCGAACACGAAATTAATGGTTGACAATATTGCATGTATTGCCACTGCCGTATCGCTGTAAGTACATAATTATGGTGTTACAGATGACACTGATAAAATAATTTATTGTGCGAGTACTGTGTTATCCATTAGCACTGCACTTTTACTCCTCGATTTGATTTTACTTCCTAAACTGTTTTAAAAAATTAAAATTGTTAGAGAACTCGCCAGTGGCGACTGTATTGAAACCCGAACAGACCATGTTTCTGCGTTTTAGAGCTCGATACGTGGCGAGATTCTTTAAAAATGCCACTTTTTCAAAACAGTGAATTAGGAAGCAAAATCAAATCATGGAGTAAAGCTAGAGTGGTAATGGATAACACAGAACTCGCAGAATAAATTTATCAGTGTATGACATGAGTAATCTGTAACACCATATTATGCGCAGCAATACATGCAATAACGTCAACCGTTAATTCGTGTGTGGGCACGCCCACTGGACCATTGCCGATGAAAGTATTTTTTAAGTGTTCCCAATACCTATTGTGTCTTTAAACAAAAGATGAGATTTTTCTGAGGGGGAGATGGTGACCGAGCCCTGGTCACTGGTCAGTAGTATGAGAATAATAATATTTATATTATCTGGTTGAATCCGTGCAAAATTCCATGGACCCAATTTGAATTTGTGGGGTATACTGTACAATGTACGAGTTCATACAGTAACCCATTCCTTCCTATTGCAGTCAAATTAATACCAGGGGCAGGGGGTACCGCACCATTTTTTCTGTACGTTAACGCCGCTCGATAACTTCGATTGATTCATTCTGTTAGTCAGGTAATATGTTGCGGCATATTTTCGAAACTTGGTCGCACAGCACAAAGCTAACGTGCACTCGTCAGTGGGCACCAAAGTCGGCCGATTTTTTATGTCTCTGGTGACCCGAGGTCGTTAACGCCTCCTGACCATTCGCGTGATGCGAAAAAATTTGATAAATACATCAGGTAGTTGACGCTTTCTGCTAATTGACATAACTAAGGCCTCGTCCCCAATCTGTAGCGAATCTCCTTACGGTACAGGGTACCACCGTCCCAGAATAGGAGATATGCGATACCGTATGTCGGTTCTCGCTTCGCATACCTCGTTACCCGTCAAAAGAGTAGGGATTGGGGTATGCCCCGTATCCTAATGCGTCCCGTATTCATAAAACTCTGATACGGTATCCTGCGAACCGTATCTCAAATCCCGTACAAACCACGCGTCTCATATCAGCCAAAAATTTTACGCGCGCTTTTTACGCACACCCTGAAATACAAAGAAAAACGATACGGTACGCGAAGCCAATTCCAGAGGTGGCTTTCTCTGGTAACTTTTTGCAGATGAGTGACTTTTTGAATATTACGTGTCGATATTTTTTCCTCGAGAGTTATTTATGTTTAATTAAAATTAAAGATGCATACGCTCCATATCGTTTCTGTTTTCATTTCATTTTATCTCAATTAAATGCATATATGAAATGTACTCTTCTTAAAACGATAAAAATTCCACTTATTCCAGCTCGTCAATATTATAAGATGACAACATCATGCAAAATTAGCTTCAAAGAAGCGGAATGGAGAAGAAAATCATTCATACCGAGTCTGCTTTCAAACACAAAACTGATTTTCCATTCATTACCACATAGTAATGATTCGGAGAGAAAAGCGAGGCTGGGAAAAGAAGATTTGATTTTGCGAATTTTTATCCGTATGTACCACTATAATAGTGCGCTTGCCAAAGTAAATTGCGCGGATGACTTGAAAATGCGACTGACGTCTCACCACTGCATCACTAACTACGAAGTGTTGACTATGATGCATAACAAAAAAACTTTCAATCCAGGGAACAAACATTTCACAATTCAGACTAAGAACTAATTAGAATGATGGCATAGAAACAATCAACCCAAAAATCGAATTTCCTTAAACAAACTTCGAAGTTTTCATCACACATGAAAACACAGAGAGCTCACATAAAAACTGGTAAACAGTGCGATGTGCAAACGGAGCGATGGAACGCAAATACAGCATAACGGGGCCGAAGCTGGGGATTCGATACAGGAAACCGATAGCGAGCCCAGGTACGATCTGCGAAGCCTGTACCATAGTGGCGCGCACCAAAGAGTGTACCATTTCTGTACTGCAGCGAAACTAGATACGGTGCTTTATCGTAAACGAGATACGCTACAGACTGGGGACGAGGCCTAAGGTTTTAAAGTATTTTAAATGGTGGCCACTGGTGATCTCACAAAAACATGGTATCGTTCTTATCGCAACGGGCAATGGGGTACATTACAGCCATTTTCAAAATTTTCTAGTAAATTCAGCATATTAACGCAATATTCTGCAAACTGGTATTGTAAGACAACTTTTTTATGGGGTTTCACCTGGCGTTGCCAGGCTTGCAACTGTTCGCCAAATACTTTCATCGCTAAACTTCCGCTATTTTGCATCAGCATACGGATGTTAATGATTTCGACAGCAGAAGCAATGGCGAAAACGATACAATCGTAACCACGGCCGTAGCGAGGGGAGCTAAGAACGGCTGGGCGGCGCACCGGCCCTTCCCTGGTTGAGAGAATTTTTTACCATATACATAACTGACCGGGATGAGTTTACGGGCGCAATTGTTTTTGGGGGTGAGGAGCCATTTTTTTACTGTTGCGCACCCTTCATCGCTCGGACCTCACTACGGCCCTGGTCGTAACCATTTTTTTTTGCTTTTGTACTCGCGGAAACAAATTGTCGATCGACCGGTTAGTTAAATCATAATTCTTCAATCCCTAGAATTAGTTACAAAAATCTATATTACTTGCAAGCAATTGATTCTTGCATTCAGACCTGAGTATCAACAGTTTATTTATTCCTCGCAATTTTGGTTTAGGTCAGCAAGTTATTCTAAAATACAGCTGCAAAGTATTGCGCGAGTGCTTACGTAGTGTTACGAACGTAGTGTTACGAACTAATTAATTTTGTTTGGCCACGCCCTTTGAGTGTCAGCAGATAAAATTGTTTTTTTAATGATACTACGATAGTATTCTTCGTTTCTGCAAAATATGAGATTTTTCTGATTTTGGACCTGAAAAATGTACCCTGGTAAGGTACGGGCTAGTGCAAGTGAATAATACGGAATATGCCTATTTAATGTACCTTCGGCTGTGGACGGTTCCTCAGTTCGTTGACAAAAATTACCACAGTTCTGCCACATAGTAAGATGTTTTCTTGAGACGAAAATGTATGCAAACTGCCAAGACAACGCTTTGTTTGCTTCTGTTATTAGGGCAAAAAGGAACGTACGTACTTGTTCTTCGGCGTTTTACGCACAAATTATTTGCATGATATGTTTGTTATTATTAATTATTAATCGATATATGACAGCAGCGAATTTTTTCTCTCTATGGTTTAAGTACAGAGCTCTGCAGTTATAAGTTGCTTTGTATTTGCTTCGCGCAATTAGTAAATCGATCAGTTTTTTAATTAGACTGTTCGTGCTCTGCACGCCCTAGTTTTACTTTATTGACCATTCACTTCCGAACAGGGCACATGCGTAGTCGGGACTGGGCTCCAAATTTAGCAATTTTCAGTTTTGTGGAAGGTATTGTAGTATCTGATCGTCGTACCTTAAAATAAATTTTCGTCTAATGTGGTCACTATAAGGCGTGCCTCAATAAAAATAAAATTTTGCATGTCATCATATCACATAACTCGATCCATGCTTTGCTTTTACTCATAATTCGGTCACTTTGAGTGTATGGTTTCATGTTCCGGTCAATGGTCATTGGTGCGACCGCTCATGTGGCGCACTACATGAATAGCTGCTGATCGTACTGCCTTTAGCTACCCGTCAAATGTGGCTGAGCAAGCCCAACCCACCCTCACAATTTTCAGGGGTCCTAAAAATTTATTGATGCTTACGTTCAAATTTAATGAGAGAAGCCGTTTTTATAAAAATTAATTATCTCTGTGAACTTCGTTTTGTCAGGAAATTTAACTACCTGGTGACTGGAATATGAAAACCTCACTCAAAGTGACCGGAATAGGAGAAAAAGCGAAGTATTTATGTGCAGCACTCAGTCTATTTATTTATTTATAAATATCGCCCAGCCCAATATTTTCTTTTTTTACAAAGTACGCATCTGCCTATATAAATACAGCTTAGGACAAAATGGTCGCATACCCACCCAAAATTTAATAAGAAAACCAAAACAGAGTACGACAGAAAAATAACCAATGCGCACACATAAATCTCCATAGACTCGTATAGGAGCTCTACCACCGCAACAGGTGCAAATCACAGTATCACATTTTAGTACTTGCTGCGTGCCCCGCCATTACAGAGGCACGCGTTTAGTCGATTTTTCATAGAATTAATCAAGTTTTCGCAATATTCTGGAGTACACACTTCTTCCCAAGCATCTTTCATCAGAGGTTCTAGTTC